TCACAATCCACGCGAAGCGCATGCGCCGTGTGATCCCGGCTTTAGAAGATTCTAAGATTTTTAGCAAGGTGGATTCACCATCATACTTAGCACTGTTAAAGATTTGTCATTAGTGACACCAATTTGAAAAATATTTTTAAATTATTTACAGTGAGGGTTGCCACGAAATTCTCGTATCACTAAAAAAATCGGTCGCTGCGCTCGCTTTTATAAGCAATTTCTTTTATTAAATAATACAATATACATGTTGTTCACCTAAATTAGTGATTTTTATATAACACCCTTTACACACCAAATACATATATTTTCCGAATTAGTATTTAGTAGTACACTTTGTAGTTACAACCACAGAATAATACAACTATGTGTCTATGTTTATAATGGATAATACTAACTTCTGGACAGCTGGTACAGACACAGACACAGATTTCACGAGCGCTTCCCCGCAGTAAGGCATTTGGCTGGCTTGTCATAATATAATAACGTTATTATAGAGTTAATCTGCGACAACAGTTAAATTTTTGGGGTTTCATCGATTCCGCCAGACCTTTTTATACTAGACTAGTCTAGAGGATAAGGTGTATCGATTCCGCCACCATCGATTCCTCCAGTACAGGTAGTCTAAAAACAACCTATCGATTCCGCCAGGGAAAAAATAAATCTCCCAAACGACAATTATTATAGTCAATTGTAAATCGTAATGGTAGATTTATTAATAAATTATGAAGCTAAAAAAATTAATCATTTGCATTTCATTAGTTTGGCATCATCACATTATAAAAATAATACTGTACAACTTAAAACTATATTTGTTTTGTGTAGGTATGTATATTATATATTGTACATAAACAAATAATAATATTGTACAACTTTTGACATTTGACAACATCATATATGTAATATGTATATAATGTAGGTACACATGATAAAAATGTTATCAAATTTTATTTGTAATTTTTGTATATTTAATATTGTATATATTAATTATTAATTTATTTTTAATATTTAAATTAATTGCTGAATTATTTTGTAGATGTATTATTATTATCATAACAGAAATAGCTAGGTATAGACAGCTGCAGCAGGTTGAGGTAAAAATTGGTGGGTGGCGGAATCGATAGGTTGTTTTTAGAATACCTGAACTGGCGGAGTCGATACTGGCGGAATCGATGCTACATTGGCGGAATCGATAGGTCCCCAAATTTTTTCTGATCTTATCCAAAAATAATAATTATAATAAAATTGGTTTTTTACGCTTAATTCAAGTATTTGAAAAAATTTCCGGAAACTTCAAAAGTTATGGCAATTCAAAGTTGTCAATATTAAAAAATATAGGTACTTTTGAATGGACGAGCGAGTGACCACGCTGGGAATAAATATACTTAGAAACAATATTGAGGAAAACCGAGGTTTACCTGAGGTAGTTCACACAGCAAATAGGGGGATATTTTCGATTTGCGGAGCAGAGCGACGGCGCCGAGGAGCGTAGCGACGAGTGCCGATACACGCGTAATCGCTGCAACTTTGATATGCCATAACTTGTGAGAACAGTGAGTTTCCGGAAATTTTTGTAACTGGGAAACGGTGTAGCTGGTGGTACGCAAATTTAAAAAGTTTGAGAACCGCTGGTCTAAAGCCCTGTTCACACGATCAAATAATTTGTCAAATATTTGACATTCGTCAAACTCCAAATATTTTAGAACCATTTCTAAAATATTTGAAGTTTGACATACATCAAATATTTGACAAATTATTTGATCGTGTGAACGGGGCTTAAAGAAACTAAAAATTATACAATACAAACTATTACAAATAATAAATTTCTATGTATCAAAATTAGAAAATTCTGAATTTTACATATATTTATATATTTTTTAATTCTATTATTTGATAAGCCTAAAGCCAGCCAAAACGAGCGTCTCACGCCAGCATGTCATTTTGGCATCCGGTGCGCGCGCATCACGTCGGCCTCTGGCATTGTTATCATATTATTTATTTCATGTTATACTTGGGGAGTACTACTTTTGTTCCACAAAACAATTTTCTTAACCCTGTGACCCACTTGGGGAGGTGTTGCACAGCAAGTCGGGGGATATTTTCGATTTGCGGAGCGGAGCGACGGCGCCGAGGAGCGTAGCGACGAGTGCCGCTAGCACCGCATCACTGCAACACCTCCCCAAGTGGGTCACAGGGTTGAGTAAATTGCATTTTTGTTGCACCGAGCCACCAATTTGAAAAAAACATCGTACAGTGATGCGGTGCTAGCGGCACTCGTCGCTACGCTCCTCGGCGCCGTCGCTCCGCTCCGCAAATCGAAAATATCCCCCGACTTGCTGTGCAACACCTCCCCAAGTGGGTCACAGGGTTAAGAAAATTGTTTTGTGGAACAAAAGTAGTACTAAGTACTCCCCAAGTATAACATGAAATAAATAATATGATAACAATGCCAGAGGCCAGAGGCCGACGCGATGCGCGCGAACCGGATGCCAAAATGACATGCTGGCGTGAGTAGTGTTGTAAAATTACCGGTAATTTATTTTTGGGTAACTTACTTCAGTAAATTACCGGTAATATTACTTTTTAATGGTAATATTGGGAAATTTATTTTCCCATGTAAAATTACCGGTAATTTATTTTTAGGTAACTTACTTGAGTAAATTACCGGTAATATTACTTTTTTATGGTAATATTGGGAAATTTATACAAAATTATCTGTAATTTATTTTTAGGTAACTTACTTGAGTAAATTACCGGTAATATTAATTTTTTTATGGTAATATTGGGAAATTTATACAAAATTATCAGTAATTTATTTTTAGGTAACTTACTTGAGTAAATTACCGATAATATTACTTTTTTATTACTTTTTTATTTATATTTTTCTTTATCAGTACGACCTAATCAGTAATCAGTACTCCGTTGGCCCGTGGCAGTGTGGCACTGCCTACAAAGATCCTAAAACCTAAAAACTAAAAAAAAAATAAAATACTCATAAAGTGGTAAGTAATTTATATTTATTACTTTACCGATAAATTACTTACTTTAAAATACTTTACCAAAGTAATATTACCGACTTACATCACTAGGCGTGAGACGCTCGTCAGCCAAATGCCTAAATGCTAAATGCCAAATGCCTGCGGCCCGCGATATATCGATAACTTCATCCGATATATCGATATTTTTATATCGCTCGAGGACTTCGATAAATATTCACTTATCGATAAAATATCGCGATATAACCGATATATCGCAGTTTCACATATGAATATTTTTTTTTTTCTTTAGTCCCCTGTTTGCATTGGTCTATAATATTATTGATAAATTCATGGTTTTAATAATCTAAGACCGTGGTTTTAACTTTTAGGTGGTTTTAGTGACGTATTTTCACGTCCTGTCCCAAGCTGCTGATTGGACGTAATATTAATACTGATAGAATATCTGATATTAATTGCCATAACTGATAAGTGCCACTAGACCCTGATAAGTGATAATATGATATTACGATTTACGATAATATAACAATTAAACACATTTCCCGCATAAATTTAAATATTTTACAATAATAATATAATACAATTAGGTTCCAAATGTTATTGCATAATATAAGAGCAGTATACTATAGATTTGTATAGTATGAAAACTTTATTTTTTGTATTAGTTGAATTACAGATCAATATAAATTTGTTTGTTATGGCATTATATACCTATATAGTTATTAAAATTGGAATTGCCAGTGTATACTGCTATATCTTAATCAACATTTTTACTAAATTGAGAATCACGGGTTTGTCCTTTGTAATAATGATTAAATAGCAAATACAAATTTTATATTTAATCAATGTTTGCAACTTGCACCTTGCATGCACATTTATTTATTGTATGCAATTTGTTTTATACTATATTATATTTTATTATCCATTAAATATGGGTAAAATAAGTAAAGTGTGGCAACATTTTGGGTTGACTGTTTGTTCTGAAATCACAACAGTGATTATGAAAACTATTATTATGAAAACTATTTTACATTATATAATTTATAAGTTATGACAATGCTATGTTTATTGTGTTCTACAAAAATATTATACTTTTATTTAGTGTTTTTAAACAAAATAAATACTGGTAAGCAGCTGAAAAAAATGTGTGGTAATTACTAATTTATAATTTTTATTACAACTCATACAGTCTGACAAAATACTATTAGTATTATCATTTTTTTAAATATCGATACTTTTGGTCGATATATCGATATATCGATATATTGGGGATCACGATATATTGTTATCGATAGTCAACGGATAAAATATCGATATCTCGATATATCGCAGTTGCTGCGATTTTTGCCATCCCTACCTGCGGGGAAGCGCTCGTCAGATTTCCCGATTTTGATAACAATTGATAACAACAAATTTGATAACAAAAAAAAAATGCTCATGCCAACCTACAAAAGTTAGAAAAAATCCCAATTCCCGCGGCTTATCTATTTTCTATGGCGGCGTTCGTTTTCATACCAATACCGGCACTGGTTTGAAAATTCGAATCTTTATAATAGTTTTATTGTATTGCACTGGATTTTTGCCTCCAATTTATTATTTACTTTTTAGTATAATAAATTGTGGGATTGTGATATTGTTCACTGCTGACTGTCGCGGCTCATCACGCTCGGCTCTCGGGTTTGTTTTGTGTTGTACTCATGTTCAATTGTTGATTGTTCATGTTTGATGTTTTCAGTGTTCACTCTTCGTCTGTCCGACTCTATCGTCAGTCTTAGCTCTACACTCCATTATCGTCACATTTTCACTTTTCGCACGTGTCATGATTTTTAACCACAGACAGATTGTACCTCACGTTATAGCTAACATGTGAAATAATAATTTTCTTAACAATACACAATTCACTTGAAGTTTCATTGACGGATTTCATACATTTTCTTTGTCGCCGTGTTTTTGTAATTTAAAATACAATTAGCGAAAGGTCGAAGTTTCTGAATAAAAATTATAACTATGGAAATCGAAGAGTCTCCGTATCGTGCTGAATACGCTAAGAGTGGTAGATCAAAATGTAAAGCGTGTAAGGAAGGTATTGAAAAGGATCATCTTAGACTCGCTGTTATGATTCAAGTATGTTAATATCAATATATCACATATTATATACATATTCAAAAACTCAATTTAAATATCTATTATTTCAATTGTGTTTTTAACTTTGATAATAAGTTACAATCTTTAGAATATACCTACCTATATATATTATACATTTACCAATATTAAATTATAATAATTATGCATTATAATTTTAGTTGTTTTGGATAAATAATGTTACACTTGTATGTATTGTCTTTTTGACAAATTCATAATATTGCAAATTGTGTTAAGTAGAACCAATTTTGTGCTGTGCCTTACTAATAGAGTGAATTTACTTAATTAACAAATTAAAGTCAAGAATACTGTTTAAGAGTATCTTGTAATTTTCTTTATATTTACATTTTTAACCAATTTATGAGCATTTTAAATCTGTCGGTAATAACTAGATATTTTACATTATTATAACTCACTTTTAAATTTAAGTGTCAAGACAATCTTATATTGAATACCATTCTAATTATCTCTATTATTATAGCTAAGTACCTAGTATGAACATAAAATTAATTTTGTTGAACGCAAGTTTACTATGACACTATGTTGTACATTTGTTAGATTAATTAATACATACTACCCCCCTTATGTATAGGTATCCTTTTAGAGCTAAATAAAAATACAATAACAATAATTTTCATGTATTCACATTTATGTATTTTATTTGTATCATTAGCTCTACTATTCAATTGAAATGGTTTTTAATTTTAAAATATTTAACACAGTTTCCAATGTATGTGATATAACATATAAACATTTTATAAATATATTTTTAAAAGTTAATCAATATTTAATAATCAACAAACCTATATCAAAAGATTATTATATATATTAATAAGTTTTGTTGTAACTTTTAAACTGAAAAAAAGATGTTTTAATAGTTATTAGATACTATCATTTACCTTTTTAATTATATTTATATTTTCAGTCTCCTATGTTTGATGGTAAACAGCCAAATTGGTACCATTTCAATTGTTTTTTTGCTAAACAACGACCTAAAACAGTTGCTGATATTGGTCATTTTGATTCAATTAGATGGGAAGATCAAGAAAAAATCAAGACTAAATTAGGTAATTTTAAATAGAATGAAGTATTTTAATGTACCTACTAGGTATAAAAAAAAATAGTTGTACTATTTACTATTATTTTTTTTTAAATATATTTGGAAAAAAGACTTATCTATAACACTGAATATTTACAAAATAATTACCATTTCATACCATTTTTTTTTAGACTTTAAGTTAGGCAACCACTCTGTTGTATTGTAGGTGTTGAGTCTACCAGGAGCATTTCACTGTACTTTGTGCTAAAATTACATTTTTAAACCTTTTCAGACGAAACAACTATTCGGATAATTCTATCAGCCTTAAGCCTATATTACTATGCATAGTAAATAAACATATTTATATTTATATTAAATAATTTATTTTAATATTAGTACTGTGACATTTTACAATTAATTTTTCCGAAAAAATTGCATTTTAAAATGTCATTATTTGTATAAATTATAATAATATACTTAAATAGTTTCAAGTCCCCACGATTAATATTTTTATATTACAACAAAATAACTAAAATAGTTATTCTTGGTTTAAATATCTAATTTTGCCCAAATTTAAACTTAAAATGTCTATAGAAAGTGTTAATATATTTTTAAGAGTTTTTGGTTTTATACTCTATTCAGTTTAAGTTGACACACTTTTGCGCATGCATACTGAGCCGCCGGAACACTCAGACCTCCCGAGTAGACGACCGGCGGTCTGTGATTGGTCGGCGGTGTTCGGCGATCGGCAGTGCTCGTTGTAGTAGGTAGCTGCTATTGGAGACGATCACTACTAGTGCTCCAAAGACGGACCGGCCTGCGCGGCCGCGACCAGTTTTCATCTGCCGAGTGGGTCAACTTAAACTGAATAGAGTATAGTATGACTAAACTACTTATAATAAACCTTGTATTATATTAACAACCTATAGCTACAACAATTTAACAATATTTTAATCAGAAAATTATTTCCAAATTGTCATGATTTTAACAAATTTTGTTAAAATTTGAACTTTAAATGCTTATTAAATATTAGGGTAATTAATATATTTATTTAGCTATAATAACAACTTATGAGGAATATTACATTTTTTTTGACCTTACAAAGTTGAAAATCAAAGCATTTTTACTATTCCAAAAATGTCAGTCATGTTTGGTCAATGTTATTGTCAATGTATTTTCAGTCAATGTTAATAAGATATAATTATTTAAAGTTTGGGCATAATATGTGAAGAGGTAGAAAAATAATTGTACAGTTTATGTCTGTGGTTTTAAACTATTTTTTTAAGGGACGTGATACCCGCATGCGTTGTCTCTCCGTCTTACAAATGTACAACATAGCAAAAAACTGTTTTGCTCGGGATTGCACCACTCCCTCGGTATTCATAGTAGAATTGTCAAAATTCCACAACGCATAGAGAACAAATTTATCTGTGTTGTAGCATTTTTAATTTTTAATTTTGGATAACATAGATAAGTTATCATTTTTTGAACATAAGAATTTTTTTTTTTATTTAATTATTAAAAATTATTGGTAAATGCTATAAATAAAATAAAAATGCTACAACACAGATAGAGTTATTCCCTATGCGTTGTGGAAATTTGGTAATTCTACTATAAATACCAAGGGGGTGGTTCTATCCCGCTCAAAACAGTTTTTTGCTATGTTGTACATTTGTAAGACGGAGACAATGCATACTGATATTACGACCTCTTAAACATGAGACATCTTTGTTTTTCACAAAATTTTCATGGGAAATATCTCAACAACAAATTTTTTTTTTAGTTTCATTATTTATTTTTTTTTACTTAAATTTAGATGAATAATTTTGCACTTTATAATATATATTATTATATTAATAATAATAAATTAATATTTTATTGAAAATTAAAATTATTATAGAAAAAGCTCGAGAAAAAGCTTTAAAAGGTTTGTGGCATACCAGATTATTGGTTAAAAAACCACTACTCTGTCCTCTAAATGTTGTCTGTAAATAAAATAAAGGTTGTCATATTTCCAAATTATAGTAATTAACTTAAATTTAATTCATCTTAGAGTCTCTAATTGGAACTGCTGATCCCGTATCAACAAAAAAGAAATCAAATGGAAAAAAAAAGGAGAACAAAAATTTTAATGTGGAATATGCAAAATCTGGACGAGCTGTTTGTTGTGGATGTCAAGACAAAATTGTAAAAGTATGAAAATTTTTTTAGTATTAAATTCTTTATCTAAATTCATTTCAATTTTTTTGTCCGAGCGAGTGGCAACGCAATCATCACTGGCGTCCCACAAAAAAAAGCCCAAAAAAAGAGGTATCCCGAAAAATAGAAAAGTTCCGAAACATTGTATTACATTTTAAAGTTTTTTGATTCTGCAAAAACTTATTTATCTAAAATTTCTTATGGCTATAAATAGCTCTTAAAAAGTCAAAATAATTTGAAAATTGTTTTCATGTATGGCAAATTGTCATATTTGCATTTAGTGAAGATTTAAAGTATCTGCGGTTAATAAGTTTTTGAGTTACACCAAAATCGATTTTGTTTAAAATTGGTTTCTCATAAAATTAAATGCTCCCATTAGTCCATAATTATATTTTTGTTTTTCCCAAAACTTTTGTAAACTATTGGGAATTTTTTATTTTTGACCCCTCCAAATACTTACTAGATTCCTTATCCTACCTGAAAAGAAAGCGCATTACAAATCATAAATATAGTATCCACACATCATTTCAGCCAAATAATTTATTGAGCATGTATTTTATTAGAATCATACTTAAGCTGTCAGTATTGTAACTAACATATATTTTGGATAACAGTATTTTAGCAGACCAATATAATAGCCGACAAATCAAATATTTGTTAAGAAGATTTCTGATGAAATACTGTCAATTAAATTTATTTTGGCTGATTTTTTATAGCCCCTATCAGAAATGATGCTGAAGTATCAAATTGGAGCATTTTTACTATCCCAAAAGTTGATGACAAGAAAAAAATACATTGTTTTGCTCCTTACAAATATGTTATAAAGTTTAATTTTCTGGATACTTTCTATTGTACATTTTATTTTTTGCTGATAAATATATTGTTATGTTAAAATTAATAAATTCTCTTCATGTTGATCATTTTATGTTTGCATTTAATTTTCAAGATAATTTTGTAGTTTGATAAATTAATAGTAATAATGATTAAATTACCTACCAATCTTAATAATATTTTGAATTCAATATTATACAAAAAAAACAACAAATTAATTTTACTTAATATATTAAAGTAAACTTAATTTGCAATTGATCTTAAGAACATCTCGCAATTATAATTGATAAGTCTGGATGTAGATATATTTGCCATAATCATTTCAAAAACAAGAATTTGATTTATGAAATATTGTGTCAAATAATATATTAAAAAAAAAAAAAAACAATTTCAATAATTTTTAAGCATTTAAGATTAAAAAAAATACTAAGTGGATTCATTTGTAATTATTAGTTTTATTTAATTAGGTACTTATAAAATACTTATTTTTTTTATTTTTTTAGGATGATATTCGTATAGGTAAAATGGATTATGATACTGATGAGGCTCGTCGTTTTGGAGGTATAAATAGATGGCACCATTTAGAATGTTTTGTCAAACTTAGGCAAGATTTAGGATTCTTGGATCTTGCTTCCTCTTTAACTGGCTATGATAATTTAAGAGAAGTAGATAGAACTAATCTTAATAATGTGTTACCTAGAATGACTATCAAAACTACCACGTGAGTTAATTTTTATTTATTTATTATTTGGTATAATAACGGTTACAATTATTATTGTTTCTTTGTATTTTTATTGTTGTTTGTTGTTAAGTGCTGATAATTTAGATGAAACTGATGGACCCAGTTCAAGTAAAAAAATGAAGTCTAATAATCATTCAGATTTAGAAATAAAAAAACAAAATAAATTGATATTCAAGTACAGAGATTATTTAAAAACATGTCCTATTAAAATATGTAAAGAACTTTTGGAATATAATAAACAAAATATACCAGAGGCAAATCATGGAGCGGTATGTAATTCAAATTTTTAATTTAAAATACAATGGAGTATTTGGTAGTTTATATTTTATACTATATTATTAGTATTATTTTTTATTCTAAGCTGTTAAATTATTTCAATTACTTCTGGGAATTTAATTAGATTTATAAAAACATACAGCATTAGTTACTCTCAATAAACTTTTATTGTATAAACTATAAAGTAGACTCTGACATAGTAACCCAGTGGATTTACTCTGCGATTTCAATATACATCACAATTGTTCCAAATCATGTAACAGGCGGCATTTCTCTCTAGGCAGGTAATTGTCTGGGTAGTGGTTCTCAACCATTTTATGTTCGTAGCACATTTTTTGTAACAAAATATTTTGACTGAATATTATAGTTAAAAACCGGATTTTTGTGCAGCTAAAATCTTAAAAAGGTGCTCTACTGTACAGTAGGTTACAAGTGGGTTACTGTATAATGGATGGTATTAAATTTGAATTCAATGATACAATATGATTGTATAAGAAAAACGATTCTGAGCGGAGACGGTATGTCAGTCTAGGTATAAGACATATTATATACTTATCTATGGTATTAAAAAAAAATGACCTATAATAAATTCCAAATTAATTATATCACAATATCCATTATGTACATACAACGTGTTATACATCAACAACAAACCCTGGTACTATCATAGATATATAATAGTGTACTTTAGAAGTTTCAAGTACCCACGAATAAAATTATACAATCACAACAAAATAACTAAAATAGTTCTTCTAGGTTTTTTATTGTGTAATTTCGTCCAAATTTAAACCTAAAAAAGACTACAAAATAAACTGTGCTTCTGTATTTTTTAGATTTTTTAGTTACAGTATTAACTACTTACGTGGAATCTTGTTTTAAATTTTCAATCCTTACATATAAAATTTGAACATTTTATAAATGTTTAACTACAAAATAATTATTCAATTTTAAATTTGGTAAATTTTGTCAAAATTCGATCTTTAAATCCTTATAAAAAAAATTTGTGCCTATGTATTTTAAATATTTTTAAACTGATGTTGTATCAATATATCAGGAGCCTTGTATTAAATTTGTACACTTTTTGGCCCAACAGATAAAACCTAATTGATATTTATAGAAAAAAAAAAACTGAAAATATCCGTCAACAGCTCAAAGAGTCAAAATATTTTCAAAATTGTATGGTGTATAGGAAATGCTAATATAAACATTCAGTGAAATATTCATGTATCTACAGTTCTTCGTTTTTGAATTACAACAAAATAAGAAAACCGAGTGAATATCCAATGTTGTAAAAATTTGAATTTCAAATGTCATGAAAATTTAATTTGATTTTCTTATAGACATTTTTTATTTTGATTAATTTAGATAATCTTACAAGGAATCTTGTATTACATTTTAAAATATTTGATTTAAAAAGAAAAATTTTTACGAATTCTTAACTCAAAATAATTTGCTAATTTTTCCATATTTTGTCAATTTTTGATTTTTAAATGCTTATGAAAAAAATCTATGACTAAGGATTTAATATTTTTCATCCGCCTTTGAAACAATATACTAGGAGCCTTCTATTAAATTTTCAAGCTTTTTTAACCAACAAATAGAATTTTATTGATATTTTTAGAAAAAAAATGAAAAATGAAAATTTCCCTCAACAGTTCAAAATAAATCAAAATATTTTGAAAATGTTACTGTGTATAAAAAATATAAATATAAACATCCAGTGAAAATTTCATGTATCTATGGTCATTTGTTTTAAAGTTACACCAAAAACCAAATTCAATTTTGTGAAAAATCGATTTTGCTTTAAAATTCCCGTTTTTCCTTAATTTTTCTTTAGTTTTTCTTGACAATTTTAAAAATTACTAGGAATTTTAAATTTTGACCTCCGCAATGCACCAACGGTATTCACTTTCCAATCAAATAAGATATTGAAGTTGAAAATGTACACACACAAAAATAAATAAAAATAAAAACATCATTGAAAAATCAATACATTCATCGTTCCACTCAGAATCTAAAATGTGCAAAAACAAAAATTTCATTACAGGTACTTCAAATTTTAATTTTAATACTTTTTTTTATATTATTATTTATTACTATTTATTAATAAAATAATAATAAACTGACCATATATATACAACTGACTTTACAATATTTGATTAAAATTTATAATCATGTACATTTCCAAGTTTTTTTTTTTGTTTAAAATTAAGTCTTCTGTCACTTAATATGTGTTTTAACTGCGAAAACTGCTTTCTACGTCAACACTTGTTATCGGGCATTGTTTGTAGCAACTTATAATAGCAGGATTTTCTTTTAAATCTACGTCATTTCCATTTATTGGATCGTTGTATACTTTTAAAATATTGTATTCGGGATTTTTATCAAATACTGATTTGAATTTTTCATACTGTATTTGTCCCTTTTCATTCTCAATTGTCTTAAGTCCATGTCTTACTGTTTTAACTACATTTATTTGATAATTTAAAGTAGAATTTTGTTTTTCAAGTTTTGTAATTGAATTTGGGAACTCGGACAAATGTGATCAAATAAATGTTAAATCAGATGTAAATTGATGCAGTACTCAAAATTTGACAGATAGGGCGTCATCTTCTTTATTAGATATCTATTCTTTAAATTTTCAGACTAAAACAAAGCAGCTTCTAACCATGTTCCCCACCTTGTTATTACAGGTTCTGGAGAGAGGCGACAGTCCATTTTCATAATTACGTCGTATTATATTGTTATATATATATTATATAATTTAATTGTTAGGTCTAAAAGTCCAATACTTTGTATAACAACATAATATATCACCAATGAAAATAATATAAAAATACAAATATATTTGTACAAAAGTACATTTTTATATAAAAAAAAACCGAAACGTGCAATTTTGTGCAACATAAAATTTTCTTTAAATTAATCTACATCTCTTGATTTATATTTGTAGCTTGTTTCTATTGAATTTAGAACACACATAAAAAGATGCAATTGCACTTGAATCCGGTCTTTAATTATAGTAATATAGTATATATAAATTATAATATTAATTTAAAAATATTAACTTTATTAAAACCACGATTGTTAGAAAACTTTGACGTCTAACGGCTTATCGTTGGCCATTTATATTTGTATTAAGTATGATATGATTGTGGCACACCTACAACCAGTTACAAATAACCACTAGTCTATTGAAAAAGGCTGCCTCCCTCCCAAATCGGGCAAATCAGAAAATAAAGGGGCAAAAATTCTGCCAAACAAGTGATTGAACTAAGAAAATAAATTTAAGTATGTTTATGGTACAATGTGCCATGAGAAAAAAAAATGTGAACAATGAGCTTTATACTTATTTTTATTGTATTTAATTATGTAAATTGGCTTTATGTTTGTTTAATTTATATTTATTTATTAATGAAAAAATACAAATAATTTAAAATATAGTTGTTATTGATACATTTTGGTATTCATTCTAGATTTATGATAGATTGTCAGATTTACTGGCTTTTGGTACTTTACTTCCTTGTGATGAATGTGAAGGTCAATTGGTTTTTAGAAGTGGTATTGGATATCAATGTTTAGGATATAAGAATGAGTGGTTAAAATGTGACAAAGTGATGGTTGAACCACGTCGTGTGGAATTCAAAATTCCTTTACATATTCTTGAAAATGATGATTTTCTGTAAGAAAAAAAATATGTTTGATATTTAATATTTTACTAATTCTTATTTAATTGTGAAATGAAAATTTGTTTAGTATGAAGTATAAATGCAAAATACAGAATCGTTTATTTGAAAAATCAGATAAAACTTCTACAAAGCAATCATCTACAGTACAAAACGATAAGGGCGTGTAAGTTCAAAACTATTTCATAATAGTATGATGATATTTATTTGTGTTACATTATCGTTTCAGAGTAAAAGTAACGCGTATTCTGCCACTAAAAAATATGGAGTTTACAACTTTATTAAAAGGCTCAGAACTGAAACAAATTAAACTTAAAGTGGCAAAATTTGGTGGTACAATAGTTTCTCATTGCACTAATAAGATTGCTGCTGTTTTCGCAAACCCAGGTATTATATATTTTTTATTATGATGAAAAATTATTTCAATTTCCTTGACTTCTTTCCTTTTATATCTTTTTAATGACCAAGTTTTGTAGATAAGTACAAATTTGATAAATTAATCGTATACCTATTATATAAAATACACAGAATCTACGGGGTGGGGTGGAGCATGGTTATTGTTGTCAATTTTGTTAAGATAAATTGAGCTAAGTATATTAAACTTTTGGCGAATGACAATAATACTAAAATAATCACTTATAATTATTTATCATAATCATGCATGTTTCACATTAAATCATAATAATTAAAATAATATCTAAGATTCTGAGCAAATGTATTGATTTTACAGTGATGTGTTTTTTTATTTGAATCTGTACATGCAAAAAGTAATATTAACATTTTCCATACATGATAATATTTTCATAATTTTTTTGTCTTTAATTCTTGATAAAACTTTTTTGAGGGGTCATATAAAATGTATTACAAGGTCCGTTGTTAAAATAAAAATTTAATATTTTTTTTTTAATTAATAAAACATAATTTAGATGTAGTATGCTGAGCCCCCCACAAAATAGCACATTGAAAATGTATAATGGAGCTTAGCCCCCTCAATATATTTTATTTCCCTATGCCTATGATCAAATACTTTTCTTATTGCCCAATTTTATAATATAATCTGATATAATATGATAAGTTATTTAATGTAGTTTAACATGATTGACTTTTAAAACATATTAAACATTTATTTTTTAATTTATTCTTTGAAGTTAAAAATAATTTTTGATGTTTAATTACTACTAGTTTCTAAATCAAATAATATTTTTGTTTTGAACAGACAGCATTATTAAAAAGGGTGTGAAGATAAAAGAAGCTGAAAGTTTCGAAATTGAAGTTGTTGAACCTATTGCATTTTTTGATGCTATTGATAAAGGTGGCAATGCAATTGAGTTGATAGTTCAACAAAACTGTGCTCCATGGGGAGGAAAGGTAGTTATTGTTTTGTTTTTTTTAATTTATTGTACAATAAAGTATAGATAATTATTTTAATTCAGGCCAAAGAAAGAATCGAAAAAAGGCAAAAAGAATTGGAATTTGATTATAAAAATAAAAGCAATTTAAAAAGTAAAATATCAGGAAAAAGTATGTATGAAAAAAGTGTGCCAACAAGTGTAAAGTTGACTTTAAAAGGAGGCATTGCTGTTGAACCACAGTCTGCACTTGAACATAAAGCTCACGTATTTAAGCAAAACAATGAAGTATGGAATGCAAATTTATGTCTGTCTGATGTGCAGACCGGTAAAAACTCATATTATAAATTACAATTATTAGAGTCGGACAATAAGAACAGGTATTCTATACAATTTGAATAAATTTGATTATTATACAAGTTATTTATACATTTTTTTTTAAACAGGTATTGGGTATTCCGTTCTTGGGGAAGAATTGGTACCACTATAGGTGGTTTTAAGACAGATGAGTATAAATCGTTACAAGAGGCCAAACAAAATTTTGAATTTTATTATGAAGATCAGACTGGAAATGCATGGAGAAATAGAAATCATTTTGTAAAAATGCCTGGTAAAAAAGTTCCAGTTGAAACTGATTATGGACAGGTATTTTTCTTCTTTTTTATAGCTTTATATAGACCATTCTGACCCCTAGTTGCAACCACCTCTCCACCAATGCTTATCAACAGCCACCTCTTATAATATATTGTACACTAGTATATCCATATATTTCATAATTTTATCCATTCATCCTTAAACGTTCAAACAATTTTTTGCTCTCTAGTGTTCATTTTTTGACATTCTCAATATTAGTCTTCTTTGTGTTTGCCAAATATGATCTGTCCAACTTTCTTTACAGTATCGCAATTATATAGGTAAACATTTTCTAGCATATCTTTAATTTCTTAGTTAGTCCCCCAATTATTCCATGGTCTGGTTAATTTTATTATTTTCCTAGTGAATATTGCTAATCCATTTTTTTCGTTACCCAAGATTCACTGGCATATAGCACATGATAGGGGGATTATAACCTATTGTAGTTTCATAAAATAGTTTTTAGAGTTCTAACTGAAACTATGTTAGATTTAAATACTATTTTGAAGCTACTTTCATAGCATTTATTTTCATCTGGAGTTCATAGTAATTATTGCCATGCATACTTATTTCTACACCTTAGAAGTAAGACATTACTTTTTCAATCACCATATTTTCTAATTGCAGGCTGTTCTGTAGAGGTTTTTGTGTGATATTAATATTAATTTTGTCTTATCGTCATATAATATGTTTAAATGCTTCTGTTTACTTTTTTTTATGCGTAGGTATTGGAAACTTTTAAGTGTTGTAAAACATTTAAAACATGCATATTTATATTTGTTGAAATAATTAATAATTGTTATTATTATTTTGTATTTCAGGATGAATCCAAAACTCTTGATTCTATTAGTAATATACCATGTAAGTTACCTGAGCCAGTACAAAGACTAATTCGTTTACTCTTTGATGTTGAATCTATGAAAAAAGTTATGTACGAATTTGAGGTAAGTTATCACAAAAAATTAATTTATTGTAAGAACTTAAACCGTTTTCAAAAAAAAAAAAAAAAGGAAAGGAAAACAGATTATGGTAATCAATTATTATTTTATTATCAATCTATTAATTTTTAAATTATGCAGTTTATATGTTGTTTAACACCAAATTTGTAGGTTGGTGAAAGTTTATGTTTTATACTCAAATAACCTAAGTCTATGGTTATACTCAACAAAACATCACTGATTATATGATAAAGGATGTACACTTAATTAATATATTTATTAGTCTAGGAGCGGCATAGAGATGTGCAGTTATTGATGGGTCATGTTGCACTCTCTAGCTCAACAAATATATATGTACTGGACAATGCATTGCTTAACTTAAATTTACTTAAATTTAAAATATTACTATATACCATAGTAATATTTATAATATAATAATATACCATTATATACTATAATATTACTATATTACTATACTATTACTAATATTATAAGTTAAATTAAAAATAAAATATTAACAGTAATTATAATTAAAACCATGTACATATAAATATTAAATACATATGTTCTTATTGGGTTGTTTATTTTAATGTTTACTATAAAAACCTAATAATTGAACAAATATTTGAAACCATTCATTATTTTTATTAGAAATATGTTTTGATTATAAAATGCGGTTTGAAAATATAAGGAATTATTTTTATTACTGGTAGGCTGTAGTCAATAACCGTTTTCAGCTTCACAAAAATAAAAGAATTATTGGTATTGGTTCTCAAATTATTAATTATTCCAGTATTTGTTACAAACCAGAAATCTGTTTTAAGCCCTGTTTATTATTGGATTCAGTATAAAAATTATTATGCATTTAATTTATTATTAATATTATTAATATGTTTTAGTTGGATTTACAAAAAATGCCACTAGGAAAATTGAGTCGCAATCAATTGCAACAAGCATACACCACATTGAATGAATTAAATAGTATGATAGAATTGAGCGATGAGAAGAGTAAAAGAGACAATGTAATCATGGCTACAAACAAGTTCTATTCCTTGATACCTCACGACTTTGGTATTAAAACGCCTCAGCTTATTGATTCGAAAGAAATTCTTAATGTATGTAATAGAGTTCATGTAATAATGAATGAAAGGTGATGGAAACACTGATTTTATATTACTTTTGTTTAGTCAAAGTTAGAAATGATTGGAAGCCTGATGGAAATTCAAATTGCGTACAGCATGATGGACAGTAAAACGTCTGAAGACTCTATGTTACATCCACTTGATACTCACTATATGAAATTAAATTGTGCTATTGATGTGAGTTATAAATTGTCAAAGTTAATTCAAAAAAATATCAAAATATTAATATTTTGATTTTATTCTCCAGGTATTGCATTCGGATATGAATGAGTTTAACATCATTCAACAGTACATAACGAATACTCATGCTGAAACTCATAGCTCTTATTCTTTAAATATCAAAGATGTTTTTAAAGTAGTTAGATCTGGTGAAGAAAAACGATTCAAGCCATTCAAAAAATTGCACAATCGTAAACTATTGTGGCATGGTTCACGAATCACTAATTTTGCAGCTATACTTTCTCAAGTATATTAATCTATCTTAGAGTATATTAAATATAGTACATAATATGTTTGATATACAAAGTCTTTAATATTTATCTTAAATTGCATTAGAAACAAGTATAATTTTTTTCTTTAGGGTTTACGCATTGCTCCCAAAGAAGCTCCAGTTACTGGTTACATGTTTGGTAAAGGTATATATTTTGCTGACATGGTGTCAAAATCAGCCAACTATTGTATGGCGTCTCATGGCAATAATACCGGTTTATTACTATTGTGTGAAGTTGCACTGGGTAACATGTATGTGTTAACTTGACTGGTGTATTTTTTACGTTTTAATTAACCTATGTTATATTATTTTTTTTTTTAGGGATGAGTACAAAGCATCTGAATACATAGAGAAATTACCGGCTGGAAAACACAGCTGTATGGGAATCGGTAGAACAAAGCCTGATCCTGCTGAATCATTGTTTATTGAAGATAAGATCGAAGTTCCCCTCGGGAAACCAATTTCTTCCAATATCAACGATACATCATTGTTATATAATGAGTATCCTTTTTTTTTACACTTGGAAATTAAACTTATCTTATTTAGATTTATATATTGTTTAAACACTTGATTTATTGTTACAGTAAAAGTACTCTATAGCGGACACCATAGGTGAATTAAAGTTGTTTACGATTCTAAGTTATTTTTCCACATTAATATATGTGGGAGAGTTTAGAAGTGTTTGTAAACTGAAATTTCACTATATTATAACTTATTAATTGCAAAAAAAGTTTTGATATATTTCTTTAACATTTACTTTTTCAGATTTATTGTCTATGATATTTCACAGGTTAAACTTCGTTACTTGGTCAAAGTGGATTTCAATTTCAATTACTAGAAGATAAAACAACATAAATAAAAATCTATGTTGAACTACCTCATTATTATGAATTATTATTAATATTTTTTTTATACTTAAAAATACCATTTTTTTTATACTTAAAACTTAAAACATTTTTTTTTATCCATTAAAAGTAAATTTGTATTCTGTATTTCTGAAGGTTAATGAAATAAATGTCGAATTTCAAAAGAAAAAATTGAATTAACTTGATATGTAAACAATAAACACATATTGTAATTTATAACTTCATAAGATAACTTATAACTTATTTATAACTTCACAGCTTTTAGTTATAGAAATACATCAGACCAGTAAGAATAAATTATAAATGCATAAAAGTGTGGTCCTTTGAAAATTGTTTGATATTTAAATTTTTCTTTCCTTAATTATTATTATTATGGTGCTTTTTTATCACTCCGCAATATAACAATGTTTTCCTTATAATATTATAAATTAAACTAGTGGATTATTATTATTTTAATCAAGGAGCAGATGTTTAAAAAAATGTTCACTGGATTAACAATGTTTTATTTAATACTTGTTATCCCCTACTTACTACTACTCAACTTCTGAAATAATTGATGATGGCGCTTATTCTTGGTTTGGTTAAAGTGACTTTTGATAAAATTTAAATATGCTCAAAGCTAATAACATGAAATTTAATTTCTGTCAAGGCATTAATTCACAAAAAGATTTAAAAACAACAAATTTATTTGGTTCCTAATTATGATAAAATTAATTAATAATACTACTAATATACTACTTGAGTACTTCTTTGAAATTTGAATAATTAAATTGATCATAAAAATGTGCCAACAAAATATTTAAATTTAAAAAAAGTGGGCAAATAGTTCCCTGAAAAATAATAATATATATATATATAGACGGTCTGTCAGCCTAATATAGGCTAATTATATTTTATATGTTAATTTTAAATTGTTTTTTAGTAATTCATTTTACTATTGTAATACAGTAGTTTGAATTCATTTTAGCAGAAAACTGCTTTCATTAAATTATTGGTATTTAATTTATATTATCCAATTTAAAGTCCCCTCTCACAACGTTCGAAATGACGCTCCTTTTTACATTCCTACTTTGTCTACTTCCTTCAGCCAAAATCATCCCATGCACAGGATGCTTAGGTTGGCCAATCAACTATGATATACATTCACATTGTATCTCATGTATTTTGTTAAATTTGTTTTATGTTAATTTACCTAGTCTAGTTTGTACTTAAATCTGTGCTGTTATCCATCTGATTTAAATAAGTATATACTATATACTGTATACCATTATATAAAAGCCAGTTGGTGTTAGTCTCATAATAAATAAAATAAATAAAAAAAAATTTTTTTTTATTATTTGAGTTAAGTGCCTCACAGTAACCTTGTATCAAACTTTTAGACTATTTGACGACTAATTTTATTTGCTGAAAATGTACAAAATAAATAAAAAATGTATGACCCATAAAATAGATCGAAAAGAAAAATATTTCAAAAATTGATAATATAAACTTTTAATGAAAATTTCAAGTATCTACAGTAATTTGTTTTTGAATATCAGAAAATCAATTTTGGTAAAAATCTGATTTTGCATAAAAATTAGGTTTAATTGGGCAAGAGAACTGAGAATTTTTTACTTTTGATCTCTCTATCTACCAACTATGTCCGCATTCCTACCTACCAGAAACAAGAAAAAATATTGAAGCATTTTATACTGCTCCAAAAGCCAAGACAGATGCAAAAATAAATAAATTTAAAGAAAAACCTTATGTAAAATCCAGGGCTTGAAACCTTTTTAAAACCGAAACCGAAAAAATTTGGATACCGGTTTACAAATTCGAAATTTCTTAATACAGTTATTGAAAAATTGAAACCAAAATCAAAAAAAAATAAATAAAAACCAAAATTTTTTCAATCGGTTTCAAGCCCTGGTAAAATCATCAATACCATTCATTGATCCAGTCTGAAATGTGCAAGATTTGTCCTACTGATTGTACAAAAGTCTTGTTATTTCTGTGATTTTAACACATAATTGGTATACTTGTAATGAGTTTATATTAAATATTTTTCTTTTATAATAATATATTTAATGTTACATTACTGTATATTTTTTTATTGTTATTATCACCTAAATAAAATTATTAGTTAAAAGTTATAAGAAAATAAATGATGTTTGTTATGTATTTATTATCACTAATTGACACAAAAAAAATTGTAAAACAATGAATATTTATTGTATATACCTAACTGTTGTCCACATAATTAGTAACACAAAACTTTGGACAAGAAATTATGTTACACATAAGTAATACAATTGTAAAGAACACTAGTTTTCATTAAGTATTTTTATAAGTTTAAAAATTATATATTGCCAGGGAATCGATTTTCTTCGATTTGAGTGTTCCATTTATCAATCCATGCATTTGGGCATATGGACTTGGAGACACGTTTGTAATACTGGCATGCATCAAACTCTTCACCTCTTATTTTTTTGCAACGTTGATAATCCAAAAAGCTCTGATAACAGTACCTAGGGCATAAAAAATGAAAATATTAATAGTATGTTTTCCTGTGTACACCATGTCAAAGATTAAGTATTCCTAAACCACAACTGTTGTTAATTTCTCCCTTCCGTTCCTAATGTTAATTATTCCTAGTTTTAACTTTTGATCTTTTAAGACAATCACTTTTTTTTGTCCGTCATTACCATACAGTATTCAAATTAAAACTAGAATATAATTTAAAACATTACTTGGTTTGATTGGTATTTGGGAAACGAGGATCCCATGGTGCAGTTTCAAGTTTGACTCCGTCTACTTCAAGAACCATTGTGTTTGGATATGCTAAAAAATAAAAAATATTTATTTTTTGAAGAGGTTAATTTTAAACACAATTTTTTTATTTCTTTAATGCCTTAATTTTATACTTCTAAGTTTATTGTTTACATTATACTATTTTACTTTTCAATTCGTAGTTGTTTAATATTTTTTCTGATATACTTTTAAGATAAAATTTACTTCTATATTTTTTTCATCCAATAACTTATAGTCTAGATTTATCACAATATTAAATTTAAAAAGGGATAACTTAAGAGAATGTCAGTACATGTTTTGTTTTGTCTCTCTGATCTACGTACAACATAGCGTGTTATGAAAATTTAAAATTTATAAATTGTTTGTACATCTTAAAATACTCATAACTTGCTTTAAAATTAAAATATAATAAAACATGCCTCAGATAATAATCTTCCCTTTAAATTTTATAAGAGGTCGTTTCACTCTAATTATAGAAATTATTATGATTATAATTATTATTGTGATCGTAAAATTTGCTGTTGAGCATGGTTTGAGCGCTGACTGAAATAGTGCGCTGACATCCTCTTACGGTTATATTACAAATTATAACTTATGAAGGAATTATTACAGTAAATATAATAGTTGAAAGAAATGTAATAATTAAAAACTATTATTTTAAAATCACCTGTATACACACAAACTCAAAGGTTGTATTATTTTAATTACTAATAGAACTCTGTTATTTTCAATTATTTTTTATTTAAATAAATAAATTTATCAAAGCTTCAATTCACCAGGTACATCATTTTAAGTATAATATAGTGAAACCTTGATTCACAGATATCCCTCAATAGCACATTAATTATTTTTGACACAGCTATCTATTATACTAAGGTTTTACAGTATAATATGACCCTGAAAGCATACTATGAGAAAGATTAGTAGATGTATCAACCATTTAATTTATAACTAGCAATGGTTATATTATTGCAATATTTCATTAAAAACTAGAGTTCATTATAATTCATCCAAAAACAAAGTTTATTAGAGGATTTTTAATATAAGCGTAAAATATAATACCAGCATAGTTTGTTACATATCTAAAATATAAATTATTAATTAAGTATACTTAAATGTAAAATAAAACTTTAAAATAATAGTAAAAACATAAAATGCATATACATTGTTTTAAACAAATATACATTTAATAGTTTTAAAACAAAAAAAAACCTAGTTTAACCATTGTTGTACACTTATATAATTTTATAACTTATTTTTAAAAAAGTAACAATTAAAGCAATAATGTTAAGTAATTATTTCTGATTAAACATAGATACAATACTATTTTGTATTTTATTGCAAAAGTATTGTATGTATTTACAAATATTATTTATATATCAGAATCATTTTACAAGAGGTCTAGTTTTATTATCCTGTTCTCCCACTGTTTCCTGGTAACGTTTAACTTCATCTAAATACAATGACCAAGCATCTGTAGGTTTAGATACTTTTTTTTCATCGTCCGGCTTAACCTTTTTAACCACACCCGTTTTCAACGCTTTATTTTTACGTTTACCAATTATTGGCAACGTCTTAAGAGTTTCAGATCGTTTTTCTGAGGCAACTGCCGAAGTAGTAGTAGTAGTAGTAGAAGTAGTAGTAGCAGCAGCATATGTAGTTTGAGATACTTGTACATCAAGTATTGGTAGTTCTGCGGTTCTGGCTTTCTGCTGCTGTTGTTGTTGTTGTTCAAATCGTTGATATACTTCTAGGAATGAGCCATCATTTTTAAATGCATTTTGGGCTTGTTGATTGTTATAGCTTGCCATGATTGCAAACACGCTTTGTTATCAGCTTTTTCACTCAACACCTATAATCAAGAAACTCTCGCACATCACATTACGGTTCCAAAATCTTAAAATTTACTACAGCCAAAGGGAGGCCAAAATCCCCAGTTACAAAAAATATTAACGTCTTCAGCTTAAAGTTAACAAATAAGTATATACACAAGGTAACAATTTTATATTTACATACTTAATAACTACATGCAGAATTAGGATTAAACAGCAATTAGTAATCACTGTAATAGTTAATAATTGTTCTTATCTATGGTCGGTTTGACACAATAATATACACAAACTTTAAAACCATGAATATAACATACATAGTATTATACATCACATATATATTAAAAAGTACCTATAATAAACCAAATTCATCTCAAACCGTGTTGACCTTTGAAGGTCTTCTTAACTTTCAACCTTAAGACATATTAAATTAAGAGCTATATCGGGATATTGTTGGTTATAAATAATAATAATTTGCGTAAGATTTGAATACTATAGATTTAATTGGATTATTTAAGTCGTCGTTTATTCACAATAAATTACGTATAACGATTAAGAAATAAATGAGTTTTTAGGTGTATGGAATACATCCAATACAAACCAAACGCGCATACATATTTTATAATTTATATAAGCTATAATCTTATTGAGACAAAATATAATATAATTAATTTACCTGAGGAGTAGATTTGATTATTGTATTAAGTATTTTTAGATGAACCCTGCGTCTCTGCTACTTCCAAGTAAGACAGTAAGAAATGTTCTCAATTAATGAATACAGCCACAGAATGAAATTGAGAAAAAAAAATGATAGTGTAATAAAAAAGAAAAAATCAATCTGCTGAGCTCAGAAGCAATATGGTTAACTGGAAGAGAAAATGTAAACAGTGCTACCAAAAAAACAACTCTCAAATTAAATTAAACGAGTGATAAGCCGAAAAATGATAAAATATATTATATAATTATAATAGGTATATTATAAAAATAAAATTCTATAATTTATTTTATAGGTATATCTGTTGAACTGTGAATGAAACAACAAAATAATAAAAAGGTGGGTAAGTGGATGTCGCTCTGCTACATGGTTAGAAGTGGGTCACTGTATAATGGATGGTATTAAATTTGAATTCAATGATATAATATCATTGTATAAGAAAAAAGATTCTGAGCGGAGACGGTATGTTAGTCTAGGTATAAGACATATTATATACTTTTCTATGGTATTAAATTATATGGAATTTATGAATAAATTCCTTAAAATATGCACAGTCTTATCATTACTTCTTATTCCTTATACTATGGTAGATTGTATAGATAGGCCATAATATTTTGATTTTTCAGTTTCATATATCCCCGAATAATATTTTTTAATTACAACAAAAACAAAGATCGTTAATATTGATTTTAATATGTAATTTCGTCCAAATTTGAATTTAAAATGTCTATAAAAAATAACTGTGTTCATATATTTTTTAGATTTTTTGGTTAAGTATGAACTATTTATAAGAACCTTTGTTTTAAATTTGCAATCCTTAGCTATAAAAACTGAACATTTTATAATTTATTAATTACAATAATTGATAATTTTCGAGATTTTGATACATTTTGTCAAAATTCGATCTTTAAATGCTTATAAAAAAAATTGTGCCTATGTATTTTTAATATTTTTCAATTGCTACTGTAACAATATATCAGGAGCCTTGTATAACATTTTTACACTTTTGGCCCAACAAATAAAACTTTATTGATATTTATAGAAAAAAAAACTAAAAAAATTGAAAACTGAAAATGTCCGTAAACAGCTCAAAAAGAGTCGAAATATTTTCAAAATTGTACAGTGTATAGTAAATGCTAATCTGAACATTCAGTGAAATTTTCATGTATCTATAATTATTTGTTTTTGAATTACAACAAAATAAGGAAATCGCTACATGAGAAATCAAGTGAATATCCAATGTTGTAAAACTTTGAATTTCAAACGCTCATAAAAATTTAATTTGACTTTCCGGTAGAGATTTTTTTATTGATAAAGGTAGACAAACTTATGAGTAGGTAATCTTGTATTAGATTTTCAAATCTTAGATTTAAAAAGAAAAATTTTTACGAATTCTTAACTCATAATAATTTGCTAATTTTCGTGATTTTTCCATATTTTGTCAATTTTTGAACTTTAAATGCTTATAAAAAAAACTGTGACTAAGGATTTTTAATATTTTTCATCTGCCTTTGAAATAATATTCTTGAAGGCTGAAGCCCTCTATTAAATTTTCAAGCTTTTTTAATCAACAAATAAAATTGTATTGATATTTTTAGAAAAAAAACTAAAAAAAAATGGAAAATGAAAATGTCTCTAAACAGTTCAAAATAAATCAAAATATTTTGAAAATGTTATCGTGTATAGAAAATGCAAATATAAACAACCAGTGAAAATTGCATGTATCTACGGTCATTTATTTTAAAGTTACACGAAAAACCAAATTCAATTTTGTCTAGAATTCCGCGCAAGCTCTGTGGTTCCCCTGACAGACGCTCATTGTACTGGTGGTCTGAGGAATCACCGTCCTCAATCGGTTAGTCTTAACTTCTAAGAGGAAATACCAAAAGAGGCTGTTAGCAGGGTGTTTGACAAGAAGAAAAGAGTTCACTCCGTGCAGGAAAGAGCAAAGGCTGGAAATTAATCGTTCATAGGAGAGGGCTTGAAGCTACCTCTGTAGTACCCAAGTGGACTCCGTTCCCTGGGGCAGTCCGTACCGGCTGGCCATTAAGAATTTTGGAGACGACATAGGAAGATGGAAGTCTGCAAGGACTCGCGAGATTCGGAAGTGAAAGGACTTATCATCTTTATTCTAACCTAAACCAAGGGCCGGCACTGGTGCTACTATGCTAGTATATAGGTATGGCTAAATGTTTATGAAGTATATTAATCACGACAGTGGCGTAGCCAGGGGGTGGCTAAGGGGGCTATATCCTCCCCCCTCATTGACCGGTGTTGACCTTAGAATTTTATCTAGATTAATAAAAAAAAAAACACATTGTATTTGTACACAAATTAATCCGTGATATTAATATACTATAATATATATGAATGCAACATTTTACAAGTTATATATTTATAATGGTTCACGATATTTTTAAAAATACTTAAAATCGTGAATAATTAATAATATACAGTAGACGCCGCTTATAAGACTCACGGATATAAGGTTCAGTCGCTTATTAGACTCAAAATCGTCTGGAACGGTCCGGACGTATCCAATACATTAAAAAAATCGGTTATAACTTATAAGACTCAACACTTCGGTTATAAGACTCAAATTTCGTAAAATAAATAGTATAAAAGAAACTTTTTTGGTTATAATTTAGAAATAAATTGGTATTGGAAAATTAAATAATATTCGTGTTGATTATTTCTAGTTTCTGGTGGTACTTTATAACGTATAATAAAAATAAATAATAAAATAATAAAAATAAATAATAAATACATTATAACATAATGTACATACATCCTTTATAATTTTTTATTAATGTATAATTTTTATAATATTTTTATATGTAATATTTACCAATTATAATTTTAGTTTTTTTTTATCAGGATTATTAAATTTATTCAATAATAAAGTATGTAATATGTAATATGCGTTAAAGTATTAAAATCAAAGCAAAATATGTAGTAAAATAAAATTTATAAATACGTAATTAATTTTTTTTTTCCACTTCGCCTATAAGATTCATTCGGTTATAAGACTCACTTTGTGCTGGTCCCAAAGTGAGTCTTATAAGCGGCGTCTACTGTATTAGTATAATATTACCTACAGGCTACATCTACATGGGTTGAACTGTAGAATCATTGATTAGAAGTACACTATATTAAATATTTAATCAATGATTAAAATTTAAAGTATATGCGACCGCAGCACAACCGGGAAATCTTTTAATCGTGTGACTCTTCTTTTAGAGACGGAGTTTGTCTCTTTCAGTGGCGTATTTTGAATGGCGGGGTGTCCTCCATGTCTGGACACCCCCCGACTTAAAATAAAAAAAGTCCTTATATATTGGACATTGGTATTATCATTTATTTTATAGTATATTAGTATACTATTTTTGTTTTATTATAAAATAAATGGTATTTTTATATAAATGGCAAAACGGGAGCGCGTAAAATATCCTAAAATATTTCAGTCGAAATTAATTTGATTAGATTAGACACAGAGACTTATCTACAATTTATAAGGGATATCCAGAAATTATTTGAATTTCACCGGGTCATTCGATTGTAAACATACCCGCAGGCCTTAGCGAAAATACAATAACAAAGAAAATATTGTGAACGTTTGTATGTATCTATGTATGTATGTATATATTTAATCTAGTTTACAGTTTATAAGTTTAGAGAATTATACATTTCATTATTAAGAGGATGTCACACCCGCATGCATTATCTCCGTATTACAAAATATGTACAACATAGCAAAAACTGTTTTGCGCGGGACAACTTTTATCTTTCTGTGTTTGTAGTAGTGGCTCCAAAATTTGTTAACATATACGATAGAAAATTATCTATGCAACAAGGTGACCATATTTAGATAACATAAACACAATAAAAGTTATTTGCTTCTAAACATTTAGTTCTTATGTTTTTTTTATTTGCTTATAAAAAACGATTGGATGGTGTTATTAAAAAAAGGGCACGCTGTTGCACAGAAGTTCTTTTTTACGTCTTGTGAAAATTTGGTAGTTCTACAGCAAATATGGTGCGGGAAAGTTGTCCCGCGAAAAACAGTTTTTGCTATGTTCTACATTTGTAAGACGGAGACAACACATGCAGATGTGACATCCTCTCAGTGGCGTATTTACGGGGGGGCTAGGGGTACTGGACCCCCTCACGACCTCTCCAAAAAAAAAAAAAAACTAAAAATTCTTACATATTTGCTGATCCCGATTTATGTAGGGACATTTAGCGGACATGGTTTTTTCAAATGAACAAAATATTTATATGAAATATAGTTTAAAATTAGCTAACGGACGCTGTCGAACGTTCAAAAACCCGCCGCCGCGTGTCCCTAAACTTTTCCCAGTTTTGTATGTACAAGGTAGATGTTACCACTTTATAAAATACCCGTATTAGATAAATATCAATAATAAATAATAATAATAGCTCATTGATCTGATGTGAGTTGTAAGGAATATATTATTTTTAATAATAGCTAAAAACATTAATGAAATTTGAGTGGCGTTTACCTACAACCTATTTATTTTCTGTCCAGAGATTAGCGAGTGATATGGACGGTTATTGTCATAATGTCATATTTCTACAATTTAAAAGATTCTCTCGTACCAAAAGAAATGTTGGATGAACTTTGTAAAAAAAAGACTATTTGATTTTGTACTTTAAAATCGTAAAATATACTTTTGTTAAAATTAGGCGATGAAGTTTAAAATACCTATTCAAATATAATAAAAAACTATTTTCTATTCTTAAAATATATAAGATATTATTTCTATATATCAGTAGGTACCTACCTATATTATGTCGGAATTATTGGACCCCCCCCCCCCCCCAGAAAAAAATTGAAAATACGCCACTGCATCCTCTTAATAATACCATTGATTTTAAATACTAGTATTTATATAATCAATGGTTATACTATTATACATTTATACTATTACTAGCTGATCCCATGCACTTCGTCGCCCGTTAAATGTATCAACTCAATATGACTCAAACTTTGTTCAATTCGTTATTCAATATTCGGTGCGTATGGTGTTCAAAATTTATCTTATCTTTTCCGTTGCCCGGAATAAAAATTCTGAATTGCAGCAGTACATTATCAGGTAGGCAATCTACCTGCGGTAGATCGCGAACCCCGTGCTGTTTGTACAGAAGTGTATGATTTAACTCTAAAGTATCAAAGTTATACCAAGTTTATTTTGATATAATACGGTGGATTAATAAAACAAATTTGGTTGCACGTAAAAAATCGCAACTCTTAAAAAAATTATGATTGTTCAACTCCTTTGGGTGTAACTTGCTGCGGTAAGTGCAACTCAGCCACCCTGGTAGGCTATGTTCAATAATTCGATTTGATACAAGCTTGTACCTGATCTGCCCGAATAACCAATGGCAACCAATAAATAAATGCTAATTTCTACTGTAGACAACCAATGGCAACTATTAATAAATAAAAATAAAATTTCCAATTTCCATCGTGAATCTCAATGTCCCTGTTTGAGCACCTATTTAAAATGCGAATTTTGGCAAATCCTTTCTTATTGCACGGTGAAAATATGAGAAGAACCTCTATTCCAAATTTCAAGTCCGTACGTTGAGTAGTTTTTGAGATAGGTACAGCGATCAGTGAGTCAGTGGTATTTGAATTTTATATGTATAGATAACTAATTATTGACTAACATTATCGGACTTTATTTATACCTAAAACCTGCTCTGTGATATCCTCTTTCATTTAAAAGAACTGCATGACAATTGGATAAGAAGTTTCGAAACCAAACGATAACAAAGATTTCCTCTTTTGCTTGATTTCAGTTTTATATATATATAGATGGTATTATTTGTCAATTTGTCATTCATTTTTTCGTCTACCACCGTAACTCTGAACTCAATATAAATAAAATATTAGTAAAGTTAATAATTATAAAAATGTTGTTTGTGAGGTTCAATAAATGATGGACATCCTCCGATAAATCACCCAAAATACGCCACTGCCCACTGGTCCCTTTAGTCTATACACTTCTTATAATGGTTGTACTATTCGTACTGGATGTCTGGATCTAACAGTAAGGCTTGATAACAATTAATTGGACATTTGGACCTACATAAGGTTTAGGTTATAGGTACCTATATAAGGTAGTAAATCCACCATGGGACCTATATATTAGTATCGATATTATTAGTTGTATTGATAAAATTACTTTATCGGTGTTAGTTCGTATATATTAATTATTATCTAAGTAGTAAGTACTAATTCAAACTACAATAAAATTATAGTATATATAGTATATAAATACTAAATACGCGATACTTTCTCAGAACCCACTATGCGTACCCACCTATAGGCGTAAATTGGGGAGGGGGGCTTGGGCGTAATAAGCCCCCCCCCAAAAAAAAAAAACCTAGGACAAATTTTAATTTTACAATTGTAATATGCTATAGAAGATACAAAGTATAACAAAATTGTGTTCATTTAGTTTTTATATATTCACACAGGGTAAAAAAATTAAGTAACGATATACATGTATGGACAATATTAAAATGTATATCAAAATTTATAAACAAAACCAATACAAAAATAATAAGAGCATATTATATATAATTTTTGGACATAGTAAATAGTAATAGACTAATAGTTAAATTTGTATTATATAAAATGATTAAATCACACTTGAATACACTGTTAAAAATTGAAATGATTGATCAAACGTCTTACCACAGTACAGATTATTTGCAAAGACCATATTACAATATAGAATATAGATATAAGTATATAACAGTAATTTTTTTCTTGTCAAACTTTTAATATTAAATAATTTAGGTAAAAAGAATAACGTAGTAAGTAATCACTTTTCTTTCACGGCATGTTCTTTAACAGGCTTAAGATTGGTTGTTTCCGCGGATAAAGATCTAAAAAATAACATTTATAAACTATTAGTCTTTCTATAAGTGAAATTGTGTATTTTGTTTAAAATTAAATTATAATTGTAACAAATTATGAACTTGGATTCATCATTCAGGAGTATGAGTAATGAGCGATAGATTTTTATGTCCTAAACTATATGATGTAATAAATAGAATATAGATATGCCTAACTGTATAAGGTATATTTACTTAAATAACTGTGTGTAAATTAATAGCTAATTGAAATTCCAAAATACATTGTCCCTGACAGCAGAAATATGTATTGCCTGTTTAATTTCAGGGGTAGGCGTGGTCAGTGATACTAACCCTCCATCCTTGACCTTCATTAAATTTTTATAGATATCATTTATTAAATTTTTGACTTTTTATTACGTTCAATTAAAATTGTATCCATCTTAAAGAAAAAAAATCATAAATACGCCTCCGGAGTCTGCTGTAGCAAAATTATATTTTGTAACTATATAGTATATACCTACCTATTGATGTGTCTGATAGTCGTAAACCTACTCGTGTGGGAAAATTGTATTTCAATTTTAAACTCTACCACACACAAAATATGATATTTATACCCAAATGTATTATATTATTATATATACTCATAAAAATATTATTATTGGTAAAACAATAACCGAATCCTATACCTTGACCCAAACCAAGAGCACGCTCCGGGTGCCGAATGCGAACGGTTGGATGACTGAAGTTTTCGTTTCGATTCGTCTGCTGCGAACGGATTCTGAAAATGACACGAAAACAATATTACTTATCAATATGGTAAATATAAGTTTAAGTTCAAAAATAAATGTTTTATGTTTGAACAAATGTCCTAGTTCCCCAAGCGAGGATCTGTCCCTGTACGTAGGTCCAACATTATCTTTTTAATATCTCTACATATAACATACCTAATATTACCTACTAGGTACCATTTATACATGATGAATTATAAATTATAATACATAATAATATGTGGACTCACGAGGAACGAGTGATTTTTCAGCATTGCTTTGATCAGTATCAGGGTGTTGAGCTTAGGTATGGACTTTACGACATTCATCATTTCCTCCTCGCTGACCTCGACCGGCTCCCGGCAATAGTTGTCCCGCTCGGTGGGCAGCGCCTCGGCCCCCGCCCTAGTCACCCAGTCATGCCGTTTGACGGCCGGCAACGTGATCCTGGTATCCGGATCCTTGTCAAGGAGGCGGTGTAACAGGTGCACCAATTGTGGGGATGTTTCCGGTTCTACTGGCCACTGCACCGGTTGCGTGCGGATCTGCTCGTGCACCGCCAGCACCGTGTCGGCGGTGTACGGCAGCCGACCGTAGACAAACGCATACAACGTGCACCCTAGTGCCCAAACGTCCAGCGCTCGACCGCTGTACGTTTTCGTCGATGGGTCCAGCACTTCGGGAGCCGCAAACGCCGGTGTGCCCGCGCTAGAACTCAACAGGTCGTCGCTTCCGTCGAACTCGTTGCACACGCCCAGGTCCGCGATTTTCAAGTGCCCGCTGGCGTCGATCAATAAGTTCGACGGTTTGATGTCCCTGTGTACGATCCGCTGAAAGTGTACTGTAGAAGAAAAACAATAGATGTACATTAAATAGTATTATGACGTATTATTATATATTTTATATCCGATATTATGACGCTCAGTGATTCTTATTTAACAATAAATATGCTCATTATTTCGAAAAGTTCCCACATTATAATGGTAGTAACTGTTAATTGTTATGGACATTTTACAATATAGTCAAAGATACTTGAAATCTTAACTTTTATAAAAAAAATTGAATTTATAAATATTCAATAAATGGTAAATATCCAAATAAGCATATTTTTGTTGGCTATTGTTAAGACACCGTTTTAAGAACAATAGTATAAAATAACATTGTATTATTACTAATTAGTACTTACAATATTCTAGGCCCAATAAAATATCCCTGAAGTATGACCTGGCTTTTGATTCAGACATCGGAGGATCACCAGGAACTTGCATCACTTCCCCACGCTCCAATAATTCAAACACTTAAATACAAAAAAAAAAAGGCGGGTAAGTGGGTAATATTCTGCTGTACATTGGGTGTCTAGAGTCACTGTAATGGATGTGTTAAATTTAAATTTAATAATATAAAATCATTGAAGGTATACCAAAAACGATTCATGCGAAGGCGGTCTGTCAGCCTATAATATTATGAAGTATATTTTATGATATGTGATTGCAGTAATTAGAGTAATTTATTTTACTATTAGGCATATTTAGTACTACAATAGGATAAATTATTTTTTGCTGAAGAATTGCATATGCAAATGTTATATGTGTATAAAATATAATTATATACATACTTAAAATGTTTTAAGTAACTAAAATCTAAACCATAATCGTTATTCTCTGTTTAAAATTTAAAATATCTACAATATCGCCTAAATGTACCTATATAGTTTGAACTCAAAATATCTAGAACAAAAAAACTGTTTTTAATACTTGAATCTTTGTTTTCAATTTTTAACCTTTAACTATACAAATTTAACATCATATACATTTTTAACAATAATATAATTTGCAAATTGTCGAATTTTGAATTTTTTGAAAAAATTGATGAATTTGGTCAAAATATGAAATTGAAATGATTATAAAAAAAATCGTGTCTATGGATCTATAATATTTCTTAACCGCTATTATAACTACTTATGAGTTATGAGGAATCTTGTATTACATTTTTAAGCATTTTGAATTTTGACATGACGAAAATTTTTTATTATTTTATTGACATAAGTAGAAAAAATAATTTTAAAAAATTGAATATTAAAATATCTATAATAATACCTCAAAACGAGTCACAATATTTTGAAAATTTATAATGTACCAAAAATGATGAAATAAATTATTAAATTTTCAAGATTTTTTTTCTGAGTGAATATTTTTTTATTAACAATCGTTAAAAAAAACTAATAAAAATCAAAATTATCTCATGCAGTTATGCCTATCAATAATTCAAAAATACTGAAAATATTTTGGTATGTAAAAAATGCCATTATAAATTTTCAGTAAAAGTTTCATATTTCTGAGTTTATTTTTTTAGAGTTGCACCAAAAAACAACATCGATTTTATATAAAAATCTTAATTTGTCCATAATTTATATTTGACCCCCCAAAGTACCAACAAGATTAAATTTCTTTCTAGAAAAGACGCTGAAATAGAAAATTGAAACATTTTTATTTCCTCAAAAAGTGTTAATCGACAAGAAAAAAAACACACGTCATTATAAAGTCACTACACTTATTGCTTAGCTCAAAATTTAAATCTTTAATAAAATACATGTAATAAAATATATTGAAATATTTACCCAAATAAAGATGATCCTCATCTGGATCCTCTAAAACTTCAACTAGTTTCACTACATTAGGATGATCAAGTTTTTTCAACAAAGCTATTTCCCTGTATACTTTGTCTAAAGGATTGGCCCCTTTACGTCTTGCGTTCAGTCTGCCTATAATTTAATATAAAAATTGTAAAACTGTAATTATGAAAAAAGCAAATGATATATAATTTATTTTTTATAATAATTTATCTTAGCAATAAGTAGGTAGCTGTTATCTCTGATGATTTAACTGTAGTATAAAATGTATAATTTCATATATGACTATTATTTATTACATTGAATATATACGATATACCTACACATTATGTACAACAACTTACTATAACAACTTACTCCATAATAATTACGTCCAAAATATAAGATTTTATGTAAGTTACGAAAACAATCACATAAAGAGGTTTACGTGTGTGAATTATGTCTTATGACTATTATAATAATTATTACTTATATGGGCTATGACTTTATATGACTTACGAGACTTACAGTAATAACTTATATAATAATAATTTATAATTTATATTTAGTAATAAATTGTCGTATAGTTTTTATAGTAAACCATAAATCGTTGCCAAAATGACTTTATTCTTCAAAAGGTCATCTTAATATTAATTAGGTAGGTATTATAAAACAATACATACCTACATATTTATTCCAAATACCTACCTAATGAAATGTAGGGTTTTCAATGTTAAAGTGTTGTACTGTTGTACATATACTGTTGTTATTTATTTTACATACATTTTCGAATTTGATACATAATATTCATTCTTTTAGAAGAAGATTTTAATTCACATTTTCCTTTATCGTTGAACCTCAATTAAAAGTACAAACGTTTTTCTGGGTATGTGAACATTTTCATTAGAACAAAACTATCGATTTTGGTCAGGAGCATATATGTATAGTAAGTTGGAATATATCTACTGAACTCTAAGGGAATACTTGAATACATATTATTGCGCTTCACTTAATAATGAACAAAACTGTACACAAAAAGGTTATCTAAACAAGACATGGTAGTTTATATTTAACGTAGTAAACTGTAAACGTCTATATTCTTAGTGTAACATAGTTCGTATTAATAGTAAATATACATTATTATGTATTTTACTTACAAAGAAAAATAACAACAATGAGAATATTATAATTAGGAAATCATTTAGGTATTGTGTATTTGTGTGTATAATACACAGCGTAGTAACTAGTAATACAAAAGTTGAGACATTTAAATTATTTTGAAATTTTGTTTATATAATGTACATATTACATGAAATCGTTATAAATTATAATATGGTATTTGCCTGTTGACTGTTATTTTATATTAAAACTAGATTCCGGTGTTTGTCATCCCGCCTACGGCGGAAAGACTGTGTGGGCGGTGGTGCATCTTTGTCGGCTATGCTGGGTTTTTTGATCCAGCCTGCGGGGGGAAGGGGGGTCGTCGGGTATTATGTTTTGTCGTGTTGGCAGCACTTTTTAAGCGGTAAATTTTGAACTCGGAAGAGTGTCTAGTCGTAAGTCACGCGATTCAAGTCGATCGTAAGACACAGCCAGCCAGGTAGGCAATCCGACTACGTCGGATCGCAGACCATGCCCCATTCGTGTATGCCGGTTCTTGAGTGTGTGTGTTGAAATCGGAAATTCGGATTCTGGGTTTGAGTGTCTAGCTATCAGTCATCTCGGGAAAAAGTCTATTCCCGAGTGTCGGATGCAGTGGGGGACACTGGGGGTGTAAGTCGCTCGTATGCAAGTAGCTAGTCAGGTAGGCAATCCGACTACGTCGGATCGCAGACCATGCACCGGGCGTGTATGTCCGGTTCTCGTATGTGTGTTGAAATCGGAAATTCGGATTCTGAGTTTGAGTATCTAGCTATCAGTCATCTCGGGTGAAAGTCGATTACCGAGTGTCAGATGCAGTGGGGGTGTAAGTCGCTCGTATGCAAGTAGCTAGTCAGGTAGGCAATCCGACTACGTCGGATCGCAGACCATGCACCGGGCGTGTGTGTCCGGTTCTCGTATGTGTGTTGAAATCGGAAATTCGGATTCTGAGTTTGAGTGTCTAGCTATCAGTCATCTCGGGTGAAATCCGATTCCCGAACGGACAATCCGCCTACAGCGAAAAGTGCTCGAAACGGCCGTTCAAATATGAAAAAGTATACAGGAGGTAATAAAATTGTATTTGTTGATAATTATAGAGAACAGTTATCAGGTGTTTTATGTTAGGCTTCACTGTAATCAATGTAATCATTGTTATGTTTTCGCGGTTATAACAAATGAGTCGACAAAATCTAATTTTCTGATTGGATATTTTCTAAAATATACCTTCCATGTATATTTATTTAATTATGAGAATTAAGTCAAATTAACAAATAGATAATTATATTGGTGAATAACAAATTTTATTGAAATGTACTACTATAATATTGAACGTAGGTATCTATAAATGAATACACTACACATACTCTCGTTTCCGACACACTACTCCACCCCGGGACTCGAATTTTCGAAAAAAACGGCAAATGAAGCAGTCATATTACAGTCGTCCTATTTTTTAATATAGTATTTATAATCTGTAGCAGTATTTAACCAAATCGGAATCACGTAAAAACTGTAATAATATATCAAGTAGGTACTACACGTAGGTTAGTTATATTATAATGTATTATTAAAAGAAACATGTAGGTGCGTCGGTAAATGTTAATTATAATAATTTTTTTGCCCAATAAATATGGTCAAACGAATAATAATAATATATATAATATAATAATGCAAATTAAAAAAAAAAAATTAACACTTTCGTTAAAAATGATAAATGTGACGAAAAAAAAAACGCAAAAAAAAGAAATTCGATTTAACACGGCCCCGCCGGCGTTCGAAACCACGACCGTCGAATCACCCGTTTTAACGCCTAACCTACCTAGCCACCTACCGAGATGAAATTAGGAGCCAAATCTATGACTCTTAAGGGCGTTTGAGCGGACCACCATGTCCGCCATCTTCGGACGTTCAAGACGCGAGATTTGCGAAAAAAATCGAACCTCGAGTCGCATGTATATATGCCTGTATATAGCGATACCTACACGGTACCTACTCTCGTTTCTGACACACTACTCCACCCCGGGACTCGAATTTTCGAAAAAAACGGCAAATATAGTCGTACTATTTTTTAATATAGTATTTATAATCTGTAGCAGTATTTAACCAAATCGGAATCACGTAAAAACTGTAATATATCAAGTAGGTACTACACGTAGGTTAGTTATACGTTATTATAATGTGTTAATAAAAGAAACATGTAGGTGTGTCGGTAAAATCAAGTATTAATTAAATGTTAATTTTAATTATTTTTTTGCCCAATAAAATATATCGTCAAACGAATAATAATAATATAAATAATAATATAATGCAAATTTAAAAAAAAAATTAACACTTTCGTTAAAAATGATAAATGTGACGAAAAAAAAACCGTGTCCGCCACCTTCGGACGTTCAAAACGCGAGATTTGCGAAAAAAATCGAATCTCGAGGCGCATGTATATACATGCGTATATATGCCTGTATATAGCGATACCTACACGGTACCTACTCTCGTTTCCGACACACTACTCTACCCCGGGACTCGTCTGTGGCTATAAATATAGCAGGGAACGCGAATAAGTAGTCGACGGGGAGGGTGATATGACCGAAAGGGGCTAAAACTATAATTTTCAAAAAAAACGGCAAAAAGAGCAGTCATAATATAGTCGTACTATTTAACTGCCAGAGTTTAATCAGTTCTATTAGATCTATTAGTTTATTAATACCGTATTAAACAGTATTTAACCTAAAAACTGTAATATATCAAGTAGGTACTACATGTAGGTTAGTTATATTATATTGTATTTATATAAGAAACATATAGGTGCGTTGGTCACGGTAAAATCAAGTATTATTATTATTATTTATAAAATAGTACAGTATCATTATACAATTTAGTTACAATTTAAAATATCTACTTTAATATATATTAATATTTTTTTGCCAAAAAAAAAAAAATGTGACGAAAAAAAAACTCGAAAAAAAAAAAAATTCAAAATACCACGGATGGCGCAAATTATCGTAAATCCCAGAGGCCGGGTTCGGACCCACGACCCTCGAGTCACTTATCCTAACGCCTAACCAACCTAGCCACCTACTCAGATGAAGTCCCGAGGCAAATGTATGACTCTTAAGCCGCGTCGCCGTGCTCGCGGCGATAAAATAAAATTCTTATCACTTTCCTTATCAATAAAAACAATATTTAAGAAAATCCCAATAAATCCTATCAAAAACTCAAAACCCCGAGTTTCCTCTTGGCGAGGTGGGTGTTAGTACTCTCCCGGACCAAAATCTATCAAAAAAGCAAAATCCAAAAAGGGGGGGAGGAGGTGCCCCCGTTCCCTAAAGCGGAACACGGTAGTATTCATAAAAAGAATGGGTTCCCCCTTGGTCCGAGGTCTTTAACTTGAATTCCGGCCGAGTTATACTCAACTCAAAATGTGGGGGGGGGGGTGGGGGCTTTGGTTCCCTAATGTTGAAAATTCATCTGGGGCCTAAAAAATTGAGATGCCCATTGGTACGGGGTCTCTAAGTCGAATACCGGCTAAGTTATACTTGGTCAAAAATAATTACTCGTTTAATGGGTCCCCCCACTCCGCCCGACGGTCGCGGGGTAATCGATTTATAAGACGTTATTATCACGTCAAAAAATTGAAAAACACGGGTTTTTTTTTAATAATAATAATAATAATGTTCGAAAATGTTCGTCGATAAGGAAATGGGAGATAAGCGAGCGGAATTTATAGCGAACGCGCGGGAAGTATTGTGATTGGTCGTCATGGAAGAAACGCGGAGTGCCGTGAGCGCTCCCCGCGGATCTTATACGCGTTATTAGCGTTTTATTATATAAGATTGTTTACGGTTATTGTTATAAAATAATTAGATATACCTAGGTAAAAATTATAATACGAGGGATATGAAATCAAAAATATAAAATTAAATATCATCATGCTTTGATGTAATTATAATTTAATAGTTTAAAACTGTTCAAATATAGTAGTGTCAAATATGCAAATGTTACACATAGGTACACTGTGTACTACACAATACCACCATAGTACCTACCAATTTGTTATTAAATATTTCAAAAACGTTGAAAATTGTAGTAGGTAATTACTATTTTTTACGGTGGCAGCATATTAATATTATGAATTAGAACAATTAGAGGAATACGAATACACTGCGTGTATTGAAGATTTTATATCTTTTAGTAACAATAGCATTACAAGATGTTACAATATGTCAAAATCAAAATCAATGTAAACGTTGCGTTGTTTATGAACATATTATTATCTATTTTTTTTTCTGATTATAATTTATGAATGAAAATTTAATTTTTAGACACTTTTGTCAACACCAGTAGTAAATTGTATGACCTAACTATTACCTATTATATATATATATATATATAAATATAAAGATTACGGTAAAAGCATATAATATATAGATATACATATATAATATAATTAAATGATTTTATAATTACAAGTGTTTTATTATATAAGATGTTTTTATATTGATACCATAGTTGAATAATGTGGTACCAGTATTTCCAGGTTATCACTACTACCTATCCATATTTTTACAAATAGACAATAATTCAGACACTTACCTATTATTTATATAAATTATATTGAATTATAAAAAAGCAGTCATCATTGGATTATCCATTATCATCATTATTGATGATTATGTTATATTTAAATATTTAATTAATATTGTTAATCCGGTTGATAAGTAGAAATAAGTTACTATATAGTTATTTTAAATACAATTTCAAGTGGAAAATGTAACGGTTTATTTTTTTTTTAAGAAAACATTTAATTAGGTAGGTACATTTCAAAATAATAACATGAGTTGAATTACAACGTTCTTCTGTGGTTACAATTTCTTACATAATAAATAATATAATACCAAACAATCTTCAAGTCAACATTTTAGTTTTTAATAGTTACGATTCTGGGGTAACGCTTTACTGACATCCGGAACTTATAGCATGGTTTTCCAGTGCACAGGCATCAGTGTGGTTACAAGATTATATTTTGTGGTTACAAATTGTTTCATAATAAATAACATAATACCAAACCATTTTCAAGTCAAAATTTTGACCTTTGAGTGCCAAGGGGTAACGTACCTCATTTTTAACATAATATATTGTAAATAATAAATTGTTTTATTAACTACGTTCAATTTAAACAATTACCTATTATGTTTGTAAAATGTTCAATTATTGCAAAAGACTGCAAATATAAAACTTATATTTTTCTATAGTTATGAAAATATATCATTTATAATGTAGTTGTTATTTAAAAACTGTACAGTTTAAACTTTAAAGGTACAAAATAATTTATTTTAGTTTAAAGTAAAAAAAATATAAAAACAGCATTATAAATGATATCCCTAACAAGTTGATAAACGTAATTTATATTCTTAATATTTTTTAGTTATGATACAGTTTATGTTTGAAATAAACATATTATACAAAATAAATAATAAATATCTTGGTTTATTAATGAATATTTATGTATTATACTTAACAAAAAGAAACTTACCAAAGCAGCCAGCCTTTTTCATTAACTTTTTCTTCGATAATATTTTCATAGCCTAGTAAAAATAATTTGAAGTATAAATTATTATTTCACATTGAAATAGGTCATATATTATGTACTTTTATTCATTTTTGTGATTATTCACAAATTAAAATTAGTGCTGATTAAAATTAAATTTCATTAATAAAAAGTAAATATTTAATTACCTATTGTTATAATAATGCCAATAATGGTTATTTAATTGTGATTTTTGTTTGAAAAATTAAAAAATGAACACATTCGAATTTAATAAGAGAGGATACAAAGGTTACATTAGCACAAGAGATCCGTAATATAAATATGTAAATTAAGTTCCTTAAGATATTTTAGAAAATATCAATAATTATACTATTTTCAAATTTTAAACACGAATTTAAAAAAGTCAACATTTTATAAATTGAAAACTTTTAATTTATAAACTTTGTGCATATAATAATAATAAATTTATTTGACAAGCTTAGTAAAAAAATTTATATAAATCAAATAACCGTTCAACCTAGATTGATTAATTGTGGTATTATATTTTAATATGGTTAATGGACAAAATTACAAAAACGATTTACTGAGGAGGGTTCCGTTTAATTAACTTGCTCTCGATTGTTTACGTTCGTATTAATTTCATCTGGATGCTTTTGAAACCGATTAGAGTAAATTATAATGTCATCCAATAAATAATGATCATGATTCATGAGTAATGTAAATGTGTCCTAAATCATAATTTCTTCATACACAATTTAAATAAAATTAAAAAATGTTTACATTAGGAACTAAATATCTGATCCTTTGTCGCTTTGATCACACATTTATCCTATGACCAAATATTTGTCTGTGAAAATAATTCAAAAATGTTTAAATAATATATTAATTATTAATACTCACATAATGTTTATCATCTAATTCGTTATACGCCAATTTTACAAGTCCATAGGATCCCTAAACAGATAAAATAATAAGTATATAGTTAAAATATATTATATAGTTCATCATTTACTTAGGTAATATGTACTATTATGCGTGTTAAAATGGTTTTATTTAATAATAAAATCGTAAATTGTACTTATTAAATATTTAAAACAAAAATATTTTGAATTCAAGTTAGGTATAAATGTAAAAACAGAATATTAATAATAAGTATTTTGTTTATTGTGTATTGTCTGTAAAAACAGTTTTAACTTTTAAAGAACACGAAACGTCACGAACTCGACATTTTAAAGTCTATATTTATAAGACATGCAAAAACAACATTGTTATTGTACCTAGTTTCAATCGATCAAAGAAATGTTATTTACCTTTTTTTCGTTCAAATGGTATACTGTTCAGAATTTGTTTTCTGCTTCATTAATTTCAATAAAAATTTAATTGTGCATATAAGAGTGTTGACTAAGGTGATATTTTTTTTACAATGTGTCATGTTTACCAGTTATCCGGCTACCAGATTTAAACATGGTTAATAAGTATTGAACAGTTATTCAGTCGTACCTATGTTTTATTAGATCGACGACTTCTTTTAAATTTTATAAAATACAAAAAATGTATGGCAACAAATAATAATAAAAATATCTAAAAAGTCAGTAAAAAGTTGATGGAAGGTACCTATACTATTATAAACCAATTACTCAATGTCAATTTAGTAAATTCAGTTATGGTGAGTAATATCATGTTGAATTAATACAGGAATAACAGTTTTCAAAAAATTTTATTCAATTTTATGTTACGTATTTAAATGTGTATTTTTAGTACTAGGTACGTGAGGAATTATATTATCTAAATCAGTGGCGGCAATACGGTCGATCTTGGACGATTTCTAAGTCGATTCCTCTTGTTAGAATTTATTGATTATTGTTATACATTTGTCATTTAGTAGATACAGTTATAACTTATAAAATACATATTTCGGATTAAATGGTTGATGTAAAATGGCATTTTCTCACATGAACGTTATAAAAGCTGAATAGAGGTACCGGGACCTATGCTTTTAGAGCAGCGTCTTCGTTTAGCAGTGAGTGCGTATTACCGCGATTATAATTAACTGGCCATGATATGCAACGACACTCTTCTACATCAACAGTACAATGTTAACATAATATGTTATACATTTAAAAATTACCTTTTTAAAAATGTAATGTGAAACACTCATCTTTGATAACTTTACACTTTTATTTTATTCTTTATATAATAGTATGTTTATTAATAATATAAAATAATTTTTTACATTAGTTGATCCTAAAAGAAAAAATATACCCTCAGTAAATCTTAATCAAAAAAAGTTTAACCACCCCTGAATTTAATAATTATCAAGTTGTGTTATTAATGATTCGAACGGTTATAAATTCTAACGGGAAAATACTTCTCCTTCCATTCATGGCAACATATCATGAATAATTCACAAAAATATCAATTTCATAATCAAAAATGTATAGACGTACATAAAGTTGATTGTCCCTACAAAACAAAAGAGAAAACGTAGATGATTATTTTTAAACTATATTATTTTATTACATCAGTAAAATCTGTGAACGTTTTTAGCAAGAATTAATAAACAAATGAATCATTTAGATATTTTATTCTATAATTAAGTACTATTATTATGTGGGATTGGGATATGTATTAATTATAAATTAAAATCATGATTATAACTGTTCACATATAATGCTTAAATAATTTGTAAAAAAAAAAGATTGACAAGATGTTTTAGAACAGTTCATGGACATGTATTCATTTTAAATTAGTTAAAAAGAATTATCGGATTTCTAAAATGAATCTATATGAAATCAGTAAAATATATCAGTTACACTAAAATATTTATAAATTTTTTCAGTTATATTTCTTTAATATTTTAATGATGAACGAATAGAAAATAATTTATTTAGATACTATTACTTATTTTATTATTTTACATTCAATCATTTTACTTGAATATACTATCATTAACTCGTTCATGTTTTTAATACTTTCAAACCTAGGTATATCAATATAATAATGTATAAATAAATTGTATAGTACCCAATACCCATGCATATTTAATTGCTCACCTTACCGAGAGATTCACCGTGAATGACTTGGTGATTGTAGTAAATATAGTAATGGCGTTAATATAACAGTTTTTAACTGCATTTGTTATGTTATGAACTATCACTGCTTTAAAATTTAAAAACACCTGCTGCTTCATTAAGCCACCCAAAATTACCTAGTCTCACATTTTTTTTGTACAGGGAATGAACTCAATATAGTCTCTAGTTAATTTTTCAAAAGCTCATACAGTTATACTGATAAGTACAGTTATAGTGATCAATTGACAATTATGATAAATCAGTTTAAATTAGCAGCAACCAATTAAAATATGAGTAATATTCAAAATTCTATAAGACGGTTATTGGATTATTGATAATTTATACATTATTGGGGGAGAAAAAAGTAGTAAAATGTCACATTGTCACATTATACATATAGATCACATTATCACAACAATTATTTGTGGGTATAAAATCAGTATAAAGTCACCCCGAACTATATACTTAGAAATTAGGCAAAACATCATTAAAATATATGAAAACTTTACGTATTCAAAACAATTTAAACAATATTATTGATGTACATTTTGGAACTCAAACAAATAATATAACCGGAAATATATTTCTTAATTCTTTATTCGTCAATTTACAATTATACGATTATATATTATAATATTATACCTAATACCTTTAACCTATTGTCTGGATTATTTATGACTGATGGAGTGATGAGTAATGACTAATGAGTAAAAATGAATATAAAACCGTTCGCTGCAGTATAAATTATTGATGTGTGTATGAAATGTATACCTGTCCGATGGAGTCGATCAGTTTGTACTGATTGAGCTTTTGATGAACATTCGGATCGTCCAAGCTCTGCACGTTGACGGACACGCGGCACTCGCGCAACGGCGGCCGACGTCTGGCAAACCGCGGCGAACACGCTGGCGAGTAGGGCAAGTTGGGACATATCGGTCGCGGTGAAGATGTCGCCGTCACAGATTCAGTCTTGTTGCAAGTTACCGCTTGCGAATCTGACGGACTGTCTGAAACCGCAGCGGTGGCCGACGCCGATTGTTGGGGATCGCACGGGTGGTGATCGTTTACGGTTACCGCGGAGGCGCATTGTTGCTGCTGAGTGTCACCGACCACAGAGGTGGATGCGGCGGCAGTCGTCGGTCTTTCTGGCGATGTCGACGGATTCGCGTCCACTGACACTGCCGCATGTCTGCTGCAAAACGAAAAAAAAAGAATGAGACAGTTTCTTTGTTGTTGTTATTGTTCTGAGCTATGTTTCGTTTAATGTATGACTAAAAGACTCGAGTTGAGTGTACTGGACGATTATATTTCAACAGAAAACATCACTATCTCAATACGTATTCACGTTTTTAAAAATATTAATTTTCATAATTTGTTACAACTTACAAAACAAAATATTTGGAAAAAGTTATGATTTCTAGGAGGTCAGAATTGAGGAATACCTTGTATTTTTGTACTCAACTAGTCAACTACAAATTACAGTTGATTTTTTTTTGATTATAACAGGACAAGTTTTAATTGTATATTAGCACGTATAAGAATTACCACCATCACTAGGCCACATAAATCGGTGCAACGTGCAAAATTCTAGAATTTGTTATATTATGCAGCACTATATAATTCTCGGTGGTGCCCAGTGGTGCAGCCAGGAATTTTTTATGGCGGGGGGGTTAAGTATACAAATACAATATGTCTTTTATTTACACTTTTTCTTTTTTTATTTATCTTGATAAAATTCTAAGGTTAACACTCGACACGGTTAATGGGGGGGGGGGGCTATAGCCCTCTTAGCCACCCCCCTGGCCACTGGTTGTACCAAATGTGTAAATTCGTGCTATACATAATTTTAGAGTAAAATTTGCAGCCAAAACTTTGATAAAAAAACAATAACAGTTTTTCAATATAGGAGATAAATAATAAATCCATCCTTGAGAGACACCTGGAAGCTAAAGTAACGTGGATTGATCAGAAAGATAGTTTTCATTAGAAAATTTATTTCGACCTATGAATATGATGCGGGTTCAGCAAACCCGCATGTTATAAATTGATTGAGTAATCCTATCGAAAGCTTTTTTCTATACCATTCATATCAATATAAAAAACATCAGCTGCTGATTGCATTTAAACGACTTTAAAATTGAGTGTTTACATATACATAAGCTTGTTACTGTTGATCGGTTTTACATAAGGCATTATGCCATAAGCCAGGTTGACTGCGTAAATAAATAGACCAATACATATAGACATCACATAACTGTAGGTATTTTTCTGTAGAAGTTAGAATTTTATTAGCAGCACAGACCCTGGTGAATGGTGGTTGATATTTCAAACTAAAATATGATAAAAACTGAGGAGCTATTGATAAAATTAGAGTGCAACTAAGCTAATCACAAGACTGAAGAGACAATTTGAAAATTATTTCGGTTACAAATTCATAAAATTCTTATTTTTATATATAAGGTTTGAAAATGAAGTACAAGATTCTTCATAATTTTGTCAACTTTTATGAAAAAAAAATGTCTACTGGAAAGTAAAATTAAATTTTTATAAATATTTGAATTTCAAATTTTTACATTGGATTTTTTTTCTTACAAATTGCTCAATTTCTCATGGAGCGATTTGCTAATTTTGCTATACTTGAAATGTACACATATATTAATTTATCATTTTCTATACTTGATAAAATTTTCCAAATGTTTTGACTAGTTTTAAGCTGTTTATGGACATTGTCAATTGTCAATTTTTTTTTCTTTAAATATTAATAACTAATAAAACTTTATTCATTTCGTCAAAAAGCTTGAAAATTGAATACAAGACTCCTCACACATTGTTACAATATCAGTTTAAAAATATTAAAAATACATAGGCAAGTTTTTTAAAATTCAAATTTGGACCAATAAACATATTAAATAACCTAGAATAAGGATTTTAGTTATTTTCTTGTAATTTAAAAATATTATTGGTGGGTACTTGAAACTTCTAAAGTATATTATTATAATATATACAAATAATTTTAATTCAACTTACTGGCTACCATATTAATAATAACAATACAATAATAGCAACAGTCAATATACCTACCTAAATATAATATGAGATATCGTAGGCTGACAAACCATCTCCGTCCAGAATCGTTTTTCGTATAAAATTATATTATATCAATGAATTTAAATTTAACACCATCCATTACAGGCGACAGTGACCCGTGACCCACTTGTAACCTACTATATAGTAGGCGTATATATTATACAGCAGAGCGGCACCCACTTACCCGCGTTTATAGTTTTTTTTTTATCATTTTAATGTAGGTTCACTAGGTTAGGTTAAGTTATAACTATGCCTAATAGGAACATGAACAAAGGAAAATAATAATATGATATAATATGATATTATGTATTATTGAGCATTTATTTTATAAAAATATTATCATTATAGAATGGGATGTTGGTGGGTATTGACCACCAATTTTATTTGAAGAGTTATAGTGTAGGTATAGACGAATAGAGTATACAGGTACCTGTACGGCTATACAGAAACATCTGTCAGGACGTGATGTCTGCAGTAGGTACTAATCTATGTAGGTTTATACGTTTATAATGTTACTTAATTTAATATGTACAGAAATATAGAATTACATAATGTATTATACAATATAATATTATATTATTCGATTATTCCTAAAATATTCTTTAATGTCCAATATCTTATTATGATGTAAACATGGGTGGATGTCGAATTAGTTTAGTGAACCATCAATCCATCAAAATTTATAACATGTATGTAATATTCGTGTAGGTACTAGGTATATGCGTTTAACAAGCGATATTTAAAATAGTATACATTGTGTAGTGACGTAGTGTATACCGACTGTATGTATTTAAATAGAATTAACGAATAACCCTATATTAGATAGGTACCTACATAATTGTGTATCAAATATGATTTATTTCTGGGATTCTATCTAAAATTTGTTTTGTTTTTAGTCCATACAGGTTATATTGAATCTATCATCTAGTATCTATATTTTATTATTAAAACTAGTTATGAAATAAATAATATACAATAATGAATACCTAGTCAAAATAATATCAGATATTAATATAGTATCATATACTATGATTAAACCTATATTTAAATATTTTGTTTTATTAATATAATATATTAAACTAAAATAATGAAATATATTTAATTTTGAATAATATTGATGAAATATATTATAGGTTTACAAATAAGAACTAAATACAATTATATTATATTATAATACCTACATTATACATACACGATAGGAAATTATTTATACGGTATTTCACGAATACGAAATATTTAAAATATTCAAAACTATTAGACCTAAAAAATTATAATTCATATTATAAAGAAGATTTATTTGTATACAAGGTATATTATTGCAATGTAATATTAGGCCATTACTTAATGTATTCACGTCAATTTTGATTTTCCCGAATATATTCCTCTACATAGGTATAACCGTAATACCGTATAATGAATATTATATTTACCTTACGGCACGCAAGTCACGTTCAATTGCTGCCTTATATAATATCATGTTTATTGTCATTTGTACCTAATTTAATGACTATAAGTCGTTTTATACTTTTGAGTAGATGGCTAGATTACCCGAGTACAATATTTTTAAAACACGTTTCATCATTATAATGCTTTAGCTATAGCTATTAGTTATTATTCGAATCAGTCTTATAAATAATGTCACCTTACTGATAACCTTTAATTTAGTATTGTTTATATAAACATATTTGTAAATAACTATAAAATACCTAACGTAACTATAACTAATGGCCACAGGATGCCGAATTTTTTTAGTTTAGAGATCAATAAAAAAACCACTTTTCCGCTTCTCTATTCCAATTACTATAAATATATAACTTTATTGTAATTTGTAATTGACATTGGTTTTATCGAACGAACGCATCTCTAATGGCTATAATAATATATAAAATGCACACAACAATGGTTTTCACTTACGTTATTTGGGCGCTGATGAGGCGTGACGCTATAATGCCCGTTTTGATAGTTGGGAGCCAAATACACATGTGCGATAGTCACATACTAATGTAAGAAGGTGCATGCGATTGTTTAACTATCAAAACACTTTTAAACAATATTGTCGATGAAGTTCGTAGACATTTTTGATTTCTACACGTAGATTTCTTACGGAACCGCTTAGTAGTAGATATATACTATGTGGTATATTAGTACAGTCGTTATCAATTAAAATAAATCAAGCCAAATTGATGAGTCGATCGAGATTGCGCGGTAATCATAACAAATATACGAATAAACGATGTGGTATTGTATATAAATTGATTTCGGAATCGGATGGAAATAATTCGGACGTTGTCATCGTGGGCTCTGGCACAACGTTACGTTTCAGACAACGAAACGGTACTGTGCTGTGTGCGCTGCCTTAACGATGAGCTGTATAGTATAGTCACTACCCTTATAAGCTTTTATGCGCATGTCAGTATAACAATAATAATATGATGTAGATACACGGGGTGGTGAGAAGCGATAGTATACTCCGGGTGAGTCACGTAGAAGAAATGGAGAACCGACACACACACATTTATTAATACAAATAAAAACAGGGAACTCGTTAAGCAGTTCTAAAGTATGTTTGAAGTGTATCAAGCCATTAAGTATAGGTAGGTAAATCTGTAACTGTAATTATATATCTGTAACTGTAATGGATGTATTAAATTTGACTTCAATGCTAATTCACTGTATACGAAAAACGATCATGAGTGAAGGAGACGGGTGGGTCAATATCTATTTTAAGGAAAGTTATTATTAAATTATATATTTTATATTATTATGAGTATTTAGTAAATTTTACTTCTGTAGACTTTACACCATATTTTGCCAAAAACATCACATAGGTATAACTTTTAAGTAAATTATTACTTATTCGTCGTAATTCAAAACATTTCAACATTAACAATTACTAATAGTCAACACCGATGTACCGTACAATGGTGTGAATAGGTTCATGAAATAAATAGCTTAAATTATTTGTCTAAATATTTTTAAAATTGTATTGCGATAGTTATAGAAAATAACGATAAACGTAACTACATAATGAAGATTAAAATTTTTTGAATTCGAATAAAATAACTAAATTGTATATAAAGGAAAATCCGTTACGTACTTATACTTTCGTTTAAACATCAAATATTCAATTTTGTCAAAACTTGAACTTCATCAAAAGCTTATAAAAAAAAATGTGACCCTGTATTTTCGATATTTTTAAGTCTTAACTGCTGTAAGACTCTTGAGAAACATTAAATTAAATGTTGAAGCTTTTTGATTTAGACTTTAGAGACAATTGATTTTGTCAAACACTGGTGTTGAGTAAATTGTAAATGTTATTCTCGTTTTCAAGCTTTTGTTTGTTAGTTTTTCCAATTATTATAAAATAGTACCTATCCAATAATATTAAATTGACTTCTAAAAACCACTCTTAAAGTTGAAGATTGAAGCAAATTTTTTGTTTAAAAACGTAATGACAGACAAAATATAAAAATATATCACTGTAAAACCTCCACTGAAAATCTAAAATGAATGGTTAGCATTTGAATTTGCAGGATACTTGCATTTTGATTGCCTACCTACCTATTATACATGACTATATAATATGATAATATGTAATTTGATATTGTAGCGACAATGTAGCGTGTATTTAGTAGTCAGTAGCGACAGTAATTTCTATGCAAGGAATTGTAATTTGTAAATATTTAAGGGAATGTTTATGGGACCGACTACAAATACTACAATTTTTGTTAATTCTTATTAGAATAATGTAATATATACTATTATAATAAAAAATAACTGACAAATTCTACACCTAAATTCATAGGTGGAGATCTGTGAAATATTTTGTGGGGGGCTTATGCAGGGGCGGATTGGGGCGAGATTTCAGCCCGGGAAAATACAAAGTATACCGGCCCACTTACCAATTTACCAAATATTTAATTTTAGCCAACATAATATTATTATGTATTACTATTTTTTTTAACATAACTACACGTTTGGCGAGATATGAAATTTATAAAACTTTATTCGTAGTGTGTATACATCGATATCAAATTTATTTTTATTTTTGAACAGTTTATGTTTACACATTTATAATAATCCAAACTCCAAGTACTTATATATAAACCAGTAAAAGTGAATAATTTAAATTACTAATGTTACGATTTTTATATTTAATAAGAAAGGTTATTACCTATTCAATAATATTTAATAATGCGTTTTTAGACTTAAATAAAAGCTTATAATTTACTTCCACTTAATATACCTGATAGGTAAATTAACAGAATCAACATGCAAAATGTATGTGTATCTTTTTATTTTCTAAAAAAATGTTTTACTGTGGTTTATTCATAATAACATTATGTAGGTACTTCAATTCTAAACAACCAGAAAAATTGTATAGTCTTTTTTTTCTTTAGTATTTTTATGTAATGTAATATTGAGTAAAATGTTTTGTCTCCGTCTTAGTACAATCTAACAAATTATCGTTCACTATCTGTACTCACCAATCAGCTAAATATTATACAAATTATTGTATACCTACGTAATGTTACTTCCCTATTATTCAATAATATTTTAATCATAGTTTTCGATATTACAGTGATTACTGCTCAAATCTGCTGGTTGACTTTTTCTATTTTCTACTTCCGCGGGATGTCAAGTAAAGCAGACTTTTCCCGAAGTTTGTCGTTACCTAGAGATCACCTAATGTGGTTTTACATAACATATCAAGGGTTGTTTTCGATTTTAACTGTCCTAACTAGTGACCCCGCTATATTACATTTGCTGTTTTTGCTTTTCGAAAAATACTATATTTTTGCTTTCTGTCTCTCATCGTTGTGTCAGCAATCCACCGTAGGTAGATTGCCTACCTGATATACCTACTATTGCATTCTGTCCTCAATCCAATTCGTATTATCTTATTTTGAAAAATCGGAAAAGAAATGCAAATTTACTGGGCTGGTACCTAATAGGAATTTAAGAATACATAGTTATTTGAAAAAAAGCGGCCCACCGGGAAAACTCCCGAATTCCCGGTGGCCCAATCCGCCCCTGGGCTTATGTATTTGTTAGCAAACGGGTCCATGGGGGACTTGCCCCTATACTTCCATCTGTCTTACCGTCACAATATTTTAAAAATATAGCCCCCCCCCCATGGGTTGAGTTAATATTTTTCTTTCCACTGATGATATATTTTCCACCCGCATTTTTAAATTGTAATAATTTGTATAAGTATAATTTTCATCTACTCATATAACTAACGAAAAAAAAATATCGCAAAAATCCACCGTTCAAACAGATAAATAGATAATAAATTTATTAAAAACATTAAAGCCAACACTGTATTGGTGAAACTTAGATAACGAATATATTTTACTAGGCCCGTTATTGTTGTACGTTTGTAAGACAAATACCAGATGCGGGTGAGATGTTGGTCCTCACTAATTTTAAATTTTGAACCAAGACACAAAATCACCACCACCACACCACCCCTCCCCATTGGCTTACTTCTGGATCATCTACTGAGACTAATAAAATATAATACATACCTACTTCATAGTTAATTCTATAGTAGGTACTTTTAGGTAAATACATATTATTAGTATTAAATATTCTATCGAAAGAGTTTCAGATTCAAGGTTGATATTTTTGTTTAATGATACTAACGACATACATAGTCAACGATTTTTTCTACTATAATATTATAATATAGTCTTATAGAAATGCAAAAAAACCATACGTCAGAAATATTAAGAGTGTCTTTGCATAATAACTTTCTCGTAAACACGTTTTAGTAAAGTGCTAAAAATACACGTATTACTGGTTTTGATGAATTAAACTTGTCAATATATTAAAATGTATTATACAAAGTACTACCGCCCGTCCACCCAAAGACCACAACAATTCCTACTTAAAATAAAACCAACATAATAATATATATAAAGACGCCGCCTTACATACACGATACACGCAGACGCAGTGATGTGCTATACGAAAAAAAGTCAAATGACATTGTAGGCACACACACAATACTATATAGTATATAAAACATTAAGACGTATACGATGTTTAATAGTGTGTAACTGTGTAAGTACCTACCTGATTGCATCTGTGGAGGCGGTAATGCTACTCGTTAACCTACAGCTTGCAACCACATCTACTGTAGATGGTTTCCAACCTGTTATCGAAGTAGCTGTAACATATACAAAAAAAGTGTTTTTTTTAATAATTATTAAAATATATTGCATAGTACCTAATTATTATGAGGGTAGAAATTAATTTTCAAGATATTATTGGACTTACGTCAAAACTTAAAAATACAATTAATATAATAATTTTGTAAATATTACTGTTATATTTAGTTTTATTAAAAATATCACATTGTACAATTGTAAATATATTGTAACTGTAATAATTGTATAGCAAAACATTGAAAACAATAAACATCGTTAGCTAATTATACGATAATTAATACAAAAATGTATGTAGTAATTGGTTATGGGTATGGTGGTACATCTCTATAGGAAAAATGTTCGTTTTTTATCGTCATAAATATCATATTTAACAATTTAACCATAATGCAATAATAATTATAATACAATTAGTAAACACACAATGTGTATGCGACTTTTGCGATGGGTAGCCGCCAGCCAGTGGTGAATAAATATATTACAACGTATAATATATTATTATAATATGCCCAATACCTACCCTAATATGGTTGTGTTTAATATTTAAATGCGTTTATTAAACGTTTGAGTTAAATGATTAGCATTATGCAAATAGCAGTATATATATAATAGGAGGCTAGAGACGTCCGGATGATTGACGCCCAGAACGCCACCTTACAATATGCACATTATACGTACATGCTACATATTATATTATGATATGCAATATTTATCGCATATACACATTATCATGGCAGATAATTTGTGTCAATAGTGTATTATTATAATTAATACAAATATACAATAAATTAATAACACGAAAACGATTGTGTCCAAGCTGATCCATTCCAAAATAATAACAATTAATTATTTTATAAATTATAATATAATATACAGGTCCACCGCAAATGACCTGTTGGATTTCGTATATACCTATAATATATGCCGTATGCCCGTATGTAATATAATAATAAAATATATTATATTATATATGTGTATAGTATTGTGTATATGTACAGTGTGCACGTCACGCACGTCGGGGCGCTTGGGGCAAAGTGTTTTTAGGCTAAGTACGCGGGCATAGGTGGTATAATACTAAATAGCGTAATTTTATCGTAACAAAATATATACAGCCACTTAAAATAATTATTACTTTTTACATTAGTCATCAGCATCACCCCCAGCGAAAACATTTTAACCCGTCGTTGGTATCGCTATGTAAAGTCCCGCCATTGGTATTGAGTGAGCGCTGCGCTCACCTTGTAGTTTTTTCATTATTATTTATTATATAATGAACATAAAATATTGAAACCAACAACGAATTATTTATAGTTTAATCTTTTACAAAAAATGTTCTTACAATTTTTCTCGATTATAAATTGTTAACCACTAAAAATTAATTTATAATTTTTTATACATAATTATATAATAAGATAATCATTATCATTCATCTTCGCCTTAGTGGTCTGGAACATTTTGCTGATTATCATACAGTACACATATAAATGTTGGGTGCTACTTAAAAATAGGTCTGAGTTTACGAAAAAGTATTTGGTTGACCTATTGAGTGAGTGAAACGCTGAATTTATGGATATTAACAACATTGCATGTCGATATCTAATCAAGAATTATTTATACAATTTTTATATTTGCAAAAGTATACTTAAATATGTGTCGATTGAAGGTATAAATAGTATCAGATGAATCAAGTAATAAATAAACAAATGGCTCTCAAAATACTAACCAGGTGAGCGCCGCGCTCACATCGCGACCACTGACGGGTTAACCACAAGCCTTCATATTATATTATATTCTGATTTATGTAATAGGTACCCTGGTATACCTATAAAATGTATTATAATAATTAATAGCCATACATAAACCTTCTATAACGGACTATTGTTGGATATTATGTTTTAATGTGTACAGACGTTTCTACAAAAATAACGATAATATTATGTTTGTGTATAAATATAATGACTAAAAAAAAAATAATAATAATATTTCGATGTAGGTTAATAGAGTACCAACAATAGTGACCCTGCACGCATGAATTCGCAACTATTATGATTGAGACAGAATGGATAACTTTATTTTGATATTCATACCAAAGTCCGAAAAAAAAATTATAAATATAATAATGACCGTAACGAACATAATGTATGATAATACATATACATATTGCTTCAATTACAATGCACGCGTCATGCTATCTTAGTTTTTTCGCCATGTTACTATCAATAAAATAAACAATGATAAACAATATTATTTTAAGGTCATTTAATATTAAAAATATATATAGCTATATTACATATAATTATTTATTATCATAACTACCTAATGAAAAAGTATTATTAATTAGATAATAATTCTTCTCATTTAGCATTAAATAACTTAAAATATAATATCTATGTATAATGTATATTTACGATTTTATAATTAGGAAAGCAAACAATAAAAAAAATGTATTTAATTAATGCGGGCTTTAGAAGACTGAGGATAACTCAAAATAAGTGTCAGCTTATTGCAGAAAGTTTAAGCCTCAATTCGGAGAACGAAAGTAATATCATTCAGGACCAAATACTCGGCATATAGTTAAAAAGTAATAATAATAACAAATACTCGGCAAACTATAGATACCAATATATTATGACTATATGAATCATTATTACATCACTGTTATTATAAATTATGATTATCACTAATATAATACTAATAATCAATCCTATTGTAAATATGAAACTAATAAGTAGTAATAACTGTACTTTAATCTTAAGTTTATTCTATTGATTATATTTCTTATTATTTAAGCATAAGTGCATAACTCCATAACTTTTTAAGAAGACGTCGCACCAGCCTGCATTCATTTTTAGTAACAAAAACACATAAGCGTAGATTTAAAATAACATATCCCCGGATGGTTTTAGAGCTAAAACCCCTACCTACTATAAAAATAAAAGAAAACATTATTTTTTAGGACATCTCTTGGAGGTTTAATAAAATATTTAGTATGAAAAAAAGATACAGCCTTTTAAATAATCAAAAATAATTAACCTAACACTAATATTTTAATTAAATGTTAATACATTATTATATCATATGTAATGTTAATGGCCTAAAGCCTACTGCCTAATTGTCGAAGTACTTTAGCTATTAGCTATAGATTAGGCTTTTTCGGGTTTGTTTTATCGACCAAATAGTTAGCCTTAGCGTCTGTTTATCCGTTTATATCAGATAATTAATATCGCTTATCAATGATTATTAATATTTAATACCTACTATTATGACGTGATGACGTAGTTACTAGTTACCCAAAGTGTATAGATAATATTCTGTATATTATATTATGTATCTATACTTGTAAGTGAGTATGACGTGATGGATGTACCCAACTAACACTATTCATGGATTTGTTGTATAATAATTTTAATAAAATAATATTGTATGATAATTTATATTATCTATTACCAATTATAATATATAACATTGTAATATTTTACATTTAATTATTTTAATCAAGTAAACGGGTAAGTTGTGTAACTATTATAAATTTACAACTATATAGGTATGTACTTTTAGTATTTAAAATACTTTAATCAAGTACTTAATAATTTTATATAAATTATAATTTATAGTTAAACTTTCATATTATTGTTTCATTTTTGTAGACTAAAGGTTTTGCCACTTTTCATTAATCCTATTGTCTATTCCATTATAATAATATAAAGAATTTTCAATTGAAAAAATTCACAAGCACACAGTCATCATGTTGTTATATATATATTATGTATAGCTCATAGTTCAACGTACAACAAAATAGTTTGGTTTAATAATTTAATATACTTTTACAAGTTTTAAACTGTATAAAATGCTGAAATTCTGAATTCGACGGAATCTATTTAATTGGTCTCTGTAAATAAATCAGATATTCTAATCAACCTAATTAGAATTGAAGGATTAATTTTTATTGTATGCATCATGTACGTACCAACATATAGAAAAATTAAAAAACAATTGAGTTGTAAACTTGTAACGTTTTAAATTTGATTTCATATTTACATTTTTCAATTGTTCGGTTTATGAATTATGATTGAATATTAACATAATTTGCCAATAGCAACCTTTTATAAACAAAAATTTCCATCGTAAATCTCAAAATTCCTGTTTGAGCACCTCCTTGGGTTGGACCTACCGGGTCAAATTGTGAATCTAAACCTTAATCTTGAATCACTCTATCAATTAAAAAAAACCGCATCGAAATCCGTTGAGTAGTTTTAAAGATTTAAGTATACAGACAGACAGCGGGATTTTGTTTTATTCTATGTTAAGATAAGATGTTAAACTGACATACTGACATTCAAGGTAATATCTGAATATGAGTTTACGCTTACCTTCCAATATTATGATTATGTAGGTTCGAGAAAAATACTCACAAATCAAAATAGTTACTTGAGATCATTGGATAAACGATAAGATTATATTTTATTTAGCCATCTTTTATACCTACCAACCATGTTACGCTCGTTGTATACCTAATATATCTACACAGTTAGATACAAAATATTATATTATAATTTATCATTGATGAAATAGGTAGGTAACATTGGAGTAATTTGGTCATGTTTGTTGGGGGAGATTGAAACATTTACTCCCAACACCCCATCACCCACCAAAAAAAAAAATTTGGTGTATATTATAAAAACCTCTCGGTGACTCAGTTCAACCATTGTGATCTGTAATCTGTATAATTTAAGTAGGGACAGTAGGGTACATATGTTTAAAATTTATTAAATGCATGAAGTTCCACGGGGTGCCGCCACTGGGTGACTTCCCCCTCCTGTAAACCAAATCGTCATCACATTTACTTATTGTATCACATGTAAATACAGATTGTAAATATATTATGTTTGTTCAATAAAAAAAAAAAAAAAAAAAAATGCATGAATACATGAAAATAAATAATTACATATACTACTTGATATAGTATTAAATATTTAAATGTAGGTACTTTTTTGAGTAGATTCGTGAATAATTTTCGTAGACGTAAAAAACTCAAAATTGCAATCTTCAAAAGGTTATAACATTGGAACTAACTACTAAGTCCAACCAACAAATTCTGATTTTATCAATTGTACTTAACTCTCTGAAATATATAAATTTCTAAAACTTCTTGATACGATACCCAATTACCCCCCCCCCCCCTCGTAATAACACCACTGATAAGTAACAATAATTTAATGTCGGAACTGAACAATTATATAAGTAATATTAGTAATATAGGCACCTCATCTATAGCTTTAGTTCGCATAGTGTTAGGTATATAGGTATAGGTACTGCATGCTAGAGAAAATTTATATTATAATAATAATAATTTACATCGCACTGAAAGTAGGTTCCCGAGTCAAACACTCGGGTATAATAATATAGTTTATTGACATATTGTATGTCTATATACTCTATAGATCTTATATAGTAGATAATATTATTTATGTTTTTATTATAATAGAATATTTTGCTAAAGAGAGGTTGCTTGATTCATGTCTGTTAACGTTAACATGATGGTTCCGTAGGTTACGTAGGTACATGCAAGCGCGCATGCTAAAAACTATTCACGTTATAAAAATGAATTTTACAAAATTTCTAACCCTAACCTACCATTATACCTATATGTAAAAATAATTGTTTCCGTTGCAAAAACTACATTAAGTTAATAACTACATTAAGTGGGTCGCGGCTATCTCGCAAACAAAATAACTGTTGACATCAATATGTGTAATAGCCTTACATACCTATATTAATATTATTATATATAAATATATAATATGTATAATATGTATCGTGTGAGCTTTGCACAAGGATAATATGTACATAATATATTATTATATTTTACCCTACTCGCGAAATATGTATAAACATTTATTATTTCATCGTTACCGGCAAAAATATTAGGAAAACAATTTTGTTGTTTTTTTGTAATATACGTATAATGTAATCATACCTTGTACAGTAGTCATAGAGTCGCGTTGCATGCAAGCCAGTACCGTTGTCGATATGTATGTAATAATGATGTTTCAGGTTTGTGTGGTCCGTCACTGTAACAAAAAATTATCAGTTAGCCTCAAAAAATAATTACATGATATTGTAATAAAAAAAAATCTCATTATATTATATAATACATTTCACAGGAAACAATACATTATTATTTTATTTTGTGGAAGATTACATTAAGTAGGTATGTTCTCTATGATTGCAAGCAGATGTAACAATAACAAGAGTAGGTACATAAAAACAACGGTGTCATCGAATAAAACGGACTTTGATCAAATATTATATAAATTTCAATAAGACGTGCGAATTTATATTGTACATACGCGCACACAAATAGGCAATAATTATGTTATCTTTTCCGGTTGTTTTTGTTGTTGTTTTAAAATGAATACCAATCGTATAGATATAGTACCATATAGTATAATATTTATAATTATGCGTGTAGGTACACATGAACGCCTCGAATATGACGGTATTATTTTTCGTCAACAATAATATTTGCGTAGATCTAGAGATTTTGAGGCCACTGGTCAAATATTGGGTTAAATCGTGTATACCTCATTATACAGAGTGATTCGTTAAGTATGAACACCCCCCTCCCATTTTTTCCTTTATAAATAAATACATTTAAATTCTGATTTTTGGAATTAGTAACTACACTTAAACTTAAAATACCGTAATTTTAATACTAAGATTTTTATTCCGCTTAAAGATAATTCGGTGGTGAACCAAACTTTTTTTAAAAGAGAACCAACATTAATAATAGCCCCCCAAAATAATTTAATGGTTTCCTAAAATATTAATAAATCTTTTAAAATTCAATTGTAATTATTAATTTTTTTATTTAAATTGTATAATTATTTTATATTGCCTATGGTAAATACAAGAGTAAATGTCATTAGCTGTATTCCTATATTTGTTTTTAAGAAAACGATTTTTGTCGGTACATTGGTACGATTGTTATGCATAATTTTTCAGTATATACACTAAACTATTATATACATACAGTAGGTTATATTATTATTGTGAAAAATTTAACTTGTGTAAATAAAAATTTGTTTTTTTTGTATAATTTTTATATATTTTTAAGTGAATATATATGGGAGTTTGGGGGCTACATTTAAGGGTTACTTTCATGTAATATCAGGTGGTGGCTACGGCCAGCCCCCCCCCCCAAACATTTAAGCCATAGTTGTGCCACTGTCGATGATCAAAATAAAATCTTTCATCAAGTCATGCATAGAATGAATAATTAAATAAAAAATTATTATAATATGTAGGTGCCTATGTCCAACACTTCAATGTTCATTTAAATTTTATCACAATTTGAATAGTAATTTAAAAATAGAAACATAGTTATAAAGATAGTTGTCAAAGTTTTAACTTTATATAAATATTTGAATTCAAAAGATAAAATGTACCTAGTATAGATTAATACCAACCTAACTCACAAAAATGTATTTGATAGGTTATGCATTTTAATTTACTTATGTGTGTTTTAATAAACAAAATATATAAATTAATTAACTATTGAGATATGTTAGGATTAAAAAATGTTCAATGTACAAGTAACTATAGTAAGTCATAAAAATGAATTTTTATTCATGCAAAAATGTTTAGTGCATATCATTTTTCAATATATTGATTTTAGTTTTAAAATTTGAATTATTAGGTACAAATTTTGTAAATATATACTATTTGTATGGTCTATAATTAATAATTATTAAGCATTAAAAATTTAAAAAGGCGCTCTGCTGTTCAGTAGGTTACAAGTGGGTCACTGTATAACGGATGGTATTAAATTTGAATTCAATGATATAATATCATTGTATAAGAAAAACGATTCTCAGCGGAGATGGTATGTCAGTCTAGGTATAAGACATAATATATACTTATCTATAGTATTAAAAAAAATTTACCTATAATAAATTCCAAATTAATCATTTCACAATATCCATTTGGTACTTATAACGCGTTATACATCAACAAAAAACCCTGATACTATCATAGATATATAATAGTGTTCTTCAGAAGTTTCAAGTATCCACGAATAATATTATACAAACACAACTAAATAACTAAAATAGTTATTCTAGGTTTTTTAATATATAATTTCGTCAAAATTTGAACTTAAAATTACTATAAAAATAAACTGTGATTATGTATTTTTTAGATTTTTTAGTTACAAAATTAACTACTTACGTGGAATCTTGTTTTAAATTTTCAATCCTTAGATATAAAAGTCGAACATTTTATACATTTTTAACTACAAAATAATTAATCAATTTTAAATTTGATAAATTTTGTCAAAATTCGATCTTTGAATGCTTATAAAAAAAATTGTGCCTATGTATCTATATATATAAAAATGAATGTATGTCAGTGTGTGTGTCTGTGGTCCATGTTACCATGGTTACAAAGGTTGCCATGGTTACTAAGGTTACCAAGATTTCATATCAATCTATATATATAAAAATGAATGTATGTCAGTGTGTGTGTGTGTGTGTGTGTGTGTGTGTGTGTGTGTCCATATTACCATGGCAACCATATCTGTATATAAAAACCAGTAAGCTGATTGACTGCTATCAACGCACAGCTCAAACCATTGGACGGATCTGGCTGAAATTTGGCATACAGATAGCTATTATAATATAGACGTGCGCTAAGAAAGGATTTGCCAAAATTCGCATTTTAAATAGGTGCTGAAACAGGGACATTGAGATTCACGATAGAAATTGGAAATTTTATTTTTATTTATTTATAGTTGCCATTGGTTACAGTCTACATTAGAAATTAGCATTTATTTATTGGTTGCCATTGGTTATTCGGGCAGATCAGGTACAAGCTTGCATCAAATCGAATTATTGAACAATGCTTACCAGGGTGGCAGAGTTGCACTTACCGCAGAAAATTACACCCAAAAGGAGTTCAACAATCATAATTTTTTTAAGAGTTGCGATTTTTTACGAGCAACCAAATTTATTATATTAATCCACAGTATTACATCAAAATAAACTTGGTATAACTTTGATACTTTAGAGTTAAATCATACACTTCCGTACAAACAGCACGGGGTCCGCGATCTACCGCAGGTAGATTGCCTACCTGATAATGTACTGCTGCGATTCAGAATTTTTATTCAGGGCAACGGGAAAGATAAGATAAATTTTGAACACCATACACGTTAATGAATTGAACAAAGTTTGAGTAGGTAGTATTGAGTTGATCCATTTAACGGGCGACGAAGTGCACGGGATCAGCTAGTTTTTAATATTTTTCAACTGATATTGTGACAATATATCAGGAACCTAGTATTACATTTTTACACTTTTTGGCCCAACAGATAAAACTTAATTGATATTTATAGAAAAGAATACTAAAAAAATTGAAAACTGAAAATGTCCGTAAGCAGCTCAAAAAGAGTCAAAATATTTTCAAAATTTAAGGTGTATAGGAAATGCTAATATAAATATTCAATGAAATTTTCATGTATCTACGGTCATTTGTTTTAGAGTTACACCAAAAACCAAAATCGATTTTTTTGAAAACAGATTTTACGTAAAAAGTCCCGTTTTTCCTTAATTTTTCTTTTGTTTTTCACGTCGCTTTTGAAAACTACTGTTAAATTTTTTACTTTTAACCCCCCAAAATACCAACTAGCATAACTTTCCTATCAGAAAAGATACTGTTGAAGAAAATCCAAGCACTTTTACTATCCTAAAAGGTGATGACAGACACAAAAAAAAAATAAAAAACATACATCATTGTAAAATCAATACATTCATCGTTCCACTCAGAATCTAAAATTCAATATATTTAGTACAATAACACATGTATATGCTATAGATATACCATATACATATAATCATACATTTATTGACAAACCTTAGGTAAGGGTAGTTTATAGTCTATTGAATAACATTTTTTATACTATTATGATTTATGAGTTAACTTTAAAAGTTGGTATAGTAAATAATAGTTGATATTTGAATTGATTATGTGGTATCTAAGTAATTTAATATTACAGAAAATGTACCTACCTACTCCTTTAAAGTCCATGTTATGTTGAACGCATTGTATAATTATTGTATTTATGAAAGTTATTTAAAATTAAAAATGAGAATAGTTTCTGCAATATTAAACTAATAAGATAAGATTTAATTGATTTGAATATTGATCATAATTTTAGTAGTTATTAATTATTATTCTCTAATACGTTTGAACATAATTTTATGACCGGGATATTGATATAGGTACCATTTATGGCCATTTATAGGCATATTATGAAAAACTAAGATAATGTGAAAGTACCTAACTGTTATATTAGTAAAGATTCATCTTAAATATTAAGTAGCCAGCGTTTCTCAAACTGTGGTCCGTCGACCCCATCTATACTAAAGCGGGTCCACGAATTATTATTATATTAATTTAATTTTTTAATTATTGTAAGGTTAGGTTATTTTTATTATACGCGATCCGCAATCCGCAATCACGTTTACTGTATACTCCAAGAGTCTAAGGGAAGGGCTCTAAGGGGTGGAGGAAAAGTTTGGGAAACGCCGTACTAGCTAATACTGATTATTTATAAGAATTTTGTAACTCAGAACTATATAACCGTAGACCGTAGTAGGTACCTCCTTGAATACTTGATTTTCACTGAATGTTTATATTATCACATTTTCAAAATATTTTTATTTATATAAAAATAATAATAAAAATTATTATTATATTATTATAAATATTTTTAGCTATATAGACATCTAACATTTTCGAATTTTATTAGTCTTTTTTCTATAAAATATAATGATAAAATAATTTTTACATGGTGAAAAAGATTGAAAATGTAAAACAAGTTGCCTTATAAGTAGTTCATATACTGTAACCCTAAAAATTTATAAACTTGATGTTTATTGACATGTAAAGATTACATTTGGATAAAACTTGATATTTAAAAAAAGAATACTGATTTTAGTTATCTGAT